ACCTGGGGCTCCCAGAGGAGGACAGCAGGGCTGGGCATACAGCCGGTGGGGGGGGGGTACTGCCCAAGGTGGGGACCTGCTTCTCTACCCCAGCAACCTGCTTGGCATTGCCCGCAGCTTTGGCATGGCCGCCCAGGCCTCAGATGCTCTGATCCTTGTCGCTCTGCCTGCAGCTCATTGACAGGGCCACCAGCCCTCGAGATGAAGATGACACCAAGGGGGACAGCACATGCCTGGAGGAGAGCTGGAAGGAACTGAGCCTCCTCAAGGCCACGCCACGTCAACAGCCCCGGAGCCCACCTGCTGCACTCAGCCAGCCCCTGTCACTCCCCGGCCCCTCGCCAGCTGCCCCAGGTGAGTGGCACCCCTTCCCCGCTGACCTGGGTGGGTCCCCCTCTGCTGGTCCCTTTTGGGAGCTGGAACCCAGGCTCTACATTGACTGACCGTGTGACCCTAGGCCAGTCCCTGCTCTTCCAAGACGGCAGCCTCCCGGCATGTTCAGCAGGGGCCTGTTTCTCTGCCCTGCTAACCTCCTGGGTCGTGCCAAGGCTCCTGCCTCTGAGACATGCACTTGGAGGGGGGTCCCAGAGCGTGGCAGCAGTGTTATGGTGGTGAGGGGCCCCAGATGGGGAAACGGGGGCCCAGAACCTGCCTTCCCACTGTACACGAGGCTGTTTGAGGGCACTGGGCATCTGGGGCAATGAGGTTTGTCGTCACGTGCTCACTATATGTGAACTCGCGCTAAGCGCTCTCTCAGGTGGTCCTTGTACGGCTGAGAAGAAACGAGGCCCAGGATGTCGCTTGGTGGTGATGCAGCTTGGGTGGAGTTCTCTTGGCTCCTGACGGGGGGGGGTCTTCTGAGGGGTCTTCTGAGACCCGTTCCTTCTGCAGAGGGGCCCACAGACACCGGTCCTCAGATGTCGCCACCGCGTAGCTCCCCGGCACTGCTGTGCCTGACGTTCCAGGAGAAGCTGCTGGCCTTCGAGCGGGACCACGTGACCATCCCGGCGGCCCAGGTGGCTCTGGCCAAGCAGCTGGCCACTGACATCGCCCTCGAGCTGCAGGCCTACTTGCGGAACAAGTTCCCGGAACTGCCCTTCGGGGCGCTGGTGCCCAGCGGGCCGCTCTACGACGGGCTGCAGGCGGGGGCGGCCGACCGCGTGCGCCTGCTCGTTCCCCTGGCGCTCGAGCGGGGCCTGTGGGACCTGGTGCCCGGGCTGGACACTGTGGCCAGGGACCCTCGCTGCTGGGCCGTGCGCAGGACTCAGCTGGAGTTCCGTCCCCGCGGGAGCAGCCCCTGGGACCGCTTCCTGGTGGGCGGCTACCTGTCTCCGCGCGTCCCGCTGGAGCTGCTCCGCAAGGCCCTGGCCTCCTCCGTCAACTGGCCGGCCATCGGCGGCCTCCTCGGGTGCCTGATCCGGCCCAGCGTGGCCTCGGAGGAGCCGCTGCTCGAGGTGCAGCACGAGCGCCTGGCGCTCTCGGTGGCCGTGCTGCTGGCCGTCCCGGGCGCCGCCGCCGGAGATCCCGTCCTCCTGGCCTGGCCCCTGGAGGGCCTGGCCGGGAGCCTGTGGCTGCAGGACTGGTACCCCGCGGAGGCCGCCCGGCTGCGGGCCCTGGATGCGCGCGACGCCGGGGCCCGGCGGCGGCTGCTGCGGCTGCTGTGCGGGGTGTGCCGCGGCCACCCGGCCCTGGCGCGGCTGGACCAGTGCCACCTGAGCCAGGTGGTGCTGCGCCTGGGGGAGGCCGAGGCCGACTGGGCCGAGGCGGCCCTGGGGCAGCGCTTCCTGCAGGCCCTGGAGGCGCTCGTCCTCGGCCTGGAGCGGGCCAGCCTGCCGCGCCACTTCAACCCCGCCGTGAACCTCTTCGGCGGCCTGCGCGCCGAGGACATCGACGCGCTGGGCTTCGCGCTGTACAGCGGCCTGCGGGCCCCCGAGCGGCTGCTCTAGCTGGGTGGGGGCGGGGCGGCCGGCGCGGGTCTCGTGCGGGGGAGCGGGGAGCGCGCCCCCACCGCCCCGGCCTTTGGAGAGCACTTTTTCTCTTGCTTTAGCCAGAAGGAAAGAGGGGGCTGCGCTCTGCAAGCCCACGGGGCTAGCATGTACGGGGGCAGCTATCACGGGAGCCCCCCTGCCCCCAGGCCCGGAGAGCGCGGCCGGGCTGCCCGTGGGGACGGCCCGGAGCGCCGGCCACGCACACGTGCCCCGGCCGCCCCCCGGACCCTGGGCTCGGGACATCGTCGCCTGCACTGACCGCGCTGACAGGACATGGCTGCTGCCGTCCTAGGCAGGGGATAAAGGCAGCTCCGTTCTTCCGTTGAGAGGGTGAGTTAGCACTTTCCTCGGGTGCCAGCTCAGGCGTCTCGAGGCTTCTGGTGCTGGGTGGTAAATACTGAGTGTTTGTTTCGTCCCCCAGGGGCCGGAGTCACCTGCTACCTCCTGATCCCCTCCCCGGATTGCAGCTCCGGGGTGGACTTGAAGGCTGCGTCCCCCCATGTCACCTGCGTGTCTAGTTGGCTTGTCAAGCTCTCGCCTCGAGCCCGGAGCAGGAGGTCAGCGTGACGTGCTGCCCACCTCGGACCTCAGGGGAAGGCCCCTTTCTCTCCACCTGGGCCGTTTTCGGGATGCAGAGTCCCCTGCGCTGCCCGCCTTGCCTGGAGCCAAGGACGCCCCACTAGCTGCTGCTGGGCCCGGCCGGAGAGCAGAGGCCGTCCCCCCACCCCCAAGGCCGGAGGAGCAGGCCTGGCCCCCACAGAGCCACCGTGAACGCCCCGCCGCCGCCTGAGTTCTCGCTGAAGCCTGGCACCAGTGGGGAGGGGGTTCTGCCTCACCTCCCAGACATCCCTCCTGGCTTTGGTATCCTTCTTGCTGAAGCAAAGCTATGCCTCAAAGAATGTGAGTAAGAATAAAAGGGGAAACTCCAGACGTCTGTGTGATTTGGGCTGGGCTCTTACACGCAGTTCTGGAAGCTTGGCCATGGGTCTTGGGATCAGCCTGGGGGAGTTAGGGTTTAATTGGAAAAGTAGATCATGTGGAGAGAATATTACAAGGTTCCCGGTGTGATGTTTCACTTTAGTGATGGGAACCGACGAGTGAGGGACTTACCCCCCTGAGGTCTAAACTCTCAAGCCCCCCCTGTGCTTTTGTGGTGGGTAGGGCTGACCCCGAGCCCCTCGGCCAGCACATCAGTGTTCAGAGATCTGTGAGGTCTCTACCCCCCTTGCCTCCTGGTGGCTCCACAAGTGGGGAACAGCCCCCCTCCCCCCGCCGCCCCAGACAGGGAAGTGAGAGCATGTCAGGGTCCCCACAGGAGTCAGGGCTGGGGCTCACTTCCTCTGTCACCACAGATGACAAGCGGGGCCTGGGGAGGGCCCCTGCCATGTGTCTGACTACAGCCGCTGTTCCCATCCTGCTTTTCTCCTTCCCATCCTGTCCTATTTCCTGAGGCACCCCCCACGTCTTTGAGCAGTGAGTCCGGGACAAGGAGCAGGATCAATGTCCTCCCTCGTCTGAGGGCCAGCACCTGGGACCGATGAGCTGCGTCTGTGCGCCTCTGGATGCAGGCCCGGGGCTGCCCCGGGAGGTCATGAGGGCTCTGCCTCAGGGGCATTCAGACGGCTGGATGGCTCCACAGAGAGGCTGTGGTGAGGGTCAAAGGGCGGGGGGCTGGTGCACGGGGAGCTTTGAGCACCTGTCGTGGCGGCTGTGGCGGCCGAGTGTGGGCAAGGGAACGGCCTGGAGGCAGACTGGGCGGGGCCTTGGTATTCTTGTCGGGAAAATGGGGGACTGTGTAATAGCAAGCTCTCACGCAGCTGAGTGGGTTAAATGCCGGCGTGCAGTGTGAGCTCAGCGCCTGGCACAAAGGCAACCACCCCCGAGCCCCAGTGTGGGCCCCTGCTGCCTCCCCCATGACCAGCGTCACGAGGCCCGAGCACGGCAAGGGGCGCCCGGTGCCAGGCCTGCGTCTGACCAAGGCTGGGCTCCTCGGGACCCCTGCTGAAGGGCTGGCTGGGCACGGCCGGGGGGCAGCCGTCTGGAAGCCAGCTGGGTCCAGAGCCCCTCTTCTTAGATGACCAAACCCCAACACGCGGTCCCCTCTGTGGAGGCCGCGTGCTTCAGGTGGCTCCGAAGTTCTCACACCACCATTTCGGTAAGACAACATCAGGATGAATTAAAAGGGAGAGAAAGCAGGCGCTCCTGGTTACATCATCTACCCAAGGTTAACGTCTGGGACTTCAGTTTCTAGCCAGAGAATCGGAAACAAGTCATTATTTTGCTAGGAGGCTTTTCGGGGCCTTATGTGCTGGGCTGGCCCATTCAGCGCCCAGAGTAGCTGCTCATCAGTTTCATTCGCCCCTTTCATGCAAGGACAGTTCAAGTCACTTGTGGTCTCAGCCCAGGGTTTAAATGTCTTCATCCTCGGACTCTGGCCGCAGTGGCAGAAGCAGGCCATCCATGTCCTCGGCTTAGCTTTACCAAGTGACCCAAAGCCAGGAGTTCGGATGACTGTGGTATGGCAGAGCTGTCCCCTGCTCAGAACAAAGGGATCGCCGGTGCAGATAAAGGACACCCCCCCATGGCAAATAGAAACTTACTAATATAAAATATGCCACTGCTATCACTTCTACCCTAAGAGAACTCTAGAATTGATCTTACCATATATAAGACGCTTCCTTTCTGTAAACCCACTTGTAGGCCCTTCCCTTCAGGAACACTTAGCTGTAGGATAATCTCTCAAGTGGGGGTACCGTTCATTCCCTAGAGCTGGCCTGCCCGGTTGTCCCCATCTTTGCTATGACGGCAGTCCCCCTTATCTGCGGTTTCGGTTCTGCATGGCCAGATGCAGACCAGAAGCAGATGATCCTCCCAATGTATCGTGCCCACAGCAGCCTCATGCTGGGTCACAACGCCCACGTCATTCTCCTGATGTCATCCCATAGGCATTGAACCACCTCACGTCCCCACAAGAAGGGTGGCTACAATAAGGTAGTTTTGACAGGGAGAGACTACATTTACGTATGTTTTATTACAATATATCGTTACGGTTCTATTAGTTATTGTGAATTTTTTTTTTTTTAAGATTTTATTTATTTGAGAGAGAGACAGAGCATGAGAGGGGGGAGGGTCGGGAGGGTCAGAGGGAGAAGCAGACTCCCCGCCGACCAGGGAGCCCGATGCGGGACTCGATCCAGGGACTCCAGGATCATGACCTGAGCCGAAGGCAGTCGCTTAACCAACTGAGCCACCCAGGCGTCCAGTTATTGTGAATTTCTTACTGCGCCTAATTTAGAAATTAAACTCATTCATATGTAGGTATAGGAAAAGACATAGTAAAACAGCGTATGTAGGGTTTGGTACTATCTGTGGTTTTAGGCAACCGCTGGGGGGTCTTGGGACGTATCCCCCAAAGATAAGCAGGGGGCAAACTGTACTTAAGCCAACACACCCTGAAGAAAGTCTCTGCGCATGCATACTGCGGCATGGGACATTCCTGGGAGTGGAAAGTATTCAGTGTTCCGACTCTGAGGAAGCTGCCAAACTGCATTCTGGAAGGACTTCGGTTAGCAGGCCAGAAAACCAGCCCAGAGCCCCGGGTGGGCAGGAAGGGGCGAACAGGTGCGTCTGGGAGGCGGGAGCCCAGGGGGGCACGCATCCACCCCCATCCCGGCCCCACTGCCCCACGGCTGTGGGCTCCTAACCCCCTTTCCGGAGACTTTACGATTTGCAGCGGACAGTGGAAATCGAGGCACACTCCCGGGAGCTGTGCCTGCTGTCTCCGGCTCGCCACACCTGCCTGGAGTGCACCGAGTCGGGCTGACTCCCTGGAGTCAGCCGAGGAGCCACCTGGTTGCCTCGGGGGCCAGAATCTACCAGGAGAACAGGTGCCTCTGAGCTGGTGTCCCAAGCAGACGAGGAAAGGACTTCCTGAGTTTCGGTAGCAAACGGCCCTTCCCCTTCAGACAGCGACTTAGGTGGCTGGCCATTTATGTGGCTGGCGGGGCCCAGGAGGGCGTGGGGCCCAGGGGCCGGGGCGGGGCCTGGAAGCCTCACCCAACAGCCTGCCGTCCGAGGCCACTGCTCTACCTCTGTCCTGTTCTCCCTAAAACGAGGGCCCTCAACCTGGTCCATCACCACTGGCTTACACATTGGCATTTTTCAGAAGTACACTTCTGTAATCAGAAAAATAAAGATATTACAATAAAAACAACCCAGCACCATTACAATTTGGAGGCACTAGATTCACGGAAGCTAGTAAGGCTGCAGTGGACGAGGCCCAGGGTGTATTCCAGAGACCAACAGGAATGGTTCCGGGAAGGCTGTTTTGGGCCCTTTCTGCACGGCTGCCGATTTCCCGAGACAACTTAGTTTATGGGGCCGGGCCTTCAGGCTGGTGGGAAGGCCAGACTCTCGAGCGTGTTCGATCGGTCCTTCACCTCGGCGTGGGTTCTCCCAGAGCTTTGAGGTGTAGGCATGGCGGCAGACTCCAATTCCAGCTTGGCTGCTTATAGGGGAAAGCATTTCCCCGTCTGAGCCTCAGTCTCCACTAGCAGACGGGTCGCAGGCGCTGCCTTGCGGGGAGGCTGGATGAGAAACGTGGATGACCCACCTGGTCTAGTGCTCAGGAAGTTGGGGTCGTTTTCACCTTGGTCCTGCACTGCACAAGCTGCAGACGGGGGTCATTTCAGGGGTCACACCTTTCCAGTCACAGTTAGGTGGGGAAAGTTCAATTTCTCATCACCTGAACTCTGCTAGCCTGAGCGGGCCATCGAGACACCTGGAAAACTCCCTCACGGGTTCTGCTCGGGAATTTCTCACTGCCATCCGGCCTGGCTGCAACCTTCTGCCCAGAGCCTGTTACAAATGGGGCTGCTCAGGCTCAGCGGTTAAGGTGCAGGACCCGAGCCAGGTCTAACCTTGGTACAATCCACCCAAATAGCTTTTGGTCTTGGCACACACGGGAGTTACCTGTGGAAAGATTAAAATCCACAAATCCGTCTAAAATCCGGAATCTCTAAGGAACTCCTATAGCTCAGCAACAAAACCCACTTGAAAAATGGGCTAAAGACTCGAACAGACATTTCTCCAAAGATATGCAAGTGGCCCATAGGCAAGTGAAAAGATGCTCGGCATCCATGGTCATTAGGAAGATGCGAGTCAGAACCACAATGAGAGAACACTTCACACTCCTTAGGATGGCCATAATAAAAATAAATAAAGGAAAATACACATTGGCGAGGAGGTGGAGAGCCCTCGTGTGTTGCCGGTGGGAACGAGAAACAGGGCAGCTGCTGGGGAAAACAGGTCACCCAGAATTCCCATAAGAGCCGGCAGACCTGGTCCCAAGTATGTACCCCCCAAAATTGAAGACAGGTGTTCAAATCTTGTACGTGAGTTTCTATGAGCACCGTTCCCAACAGCCAAAATGTGGGAACAACGCAAATGCCCATCAGCTGACCGGATGGACATGATGTGGTTCATCCACAGGATGGAGTATCGCTCAGTCACACAGACGAATCACATGCTGACACGCGCTCATGGGTGAGCCTTGCAGACGATACGCGAAGGCAGAGAAGCCAGACGGCAGGTCACAGGCTCTGTGATTCCATTTACAGGGACTGTTCCAAAGAGGTAAAGCCACCAAGACAGAAAGCAGACTGGTGGCTGCCAAGGGCTGGGGGGCTGGGGACGAAAACACAAAGGCAGGGCCGTGACCCACCCCACTGTTCAGATGCTCCACGAGCAACTGGTGTAACTGGAGGGTATGGAGCCAGGAGTCCAAGAGTGAGGACTGTTCATTTCTTCAGCAGCCAGCAACGCAACTCCTGGCAACTCACACCCATTCCTGTTGATCTCCTAACCAGCAAAATAAAGCCACATGGTTACGTATCATTCACAGGGTTTTGTAAAGACACACAAGGGACGAGGCCACCCCTGCACAGAGTGGAAGCATTCTGCATCTCATATGGCCTCTCCGCTCTGCTCTGCGGGGCAAGCTGTTCGTGGGGCTGGGAGGAGAGGCCAAGAGGGCCAGAGGTCGGTGAGAGGTCCCTCGAGCCCTGGCTGGGGTCCGAGGCCGCCGCTTCTGCCATCGGTCACCAGTGCACCACACCCACCAGAGCAGAGGGACAGGATTCTTTATTAAGGCACACGAGCCGTGGGGTGTCCCGGCCGCAGCGGCGTCTCGATAAAGACAAACAAAGCTTCTTCGATAGACACAATTTTAGAACAAGAGCCATGTTCTTGCATTACACCCTCCTTTCTCAGAACGTCCGCGAGCGGAGCCCTGTCCAGGCTGCCCGGAGCCTGGAACAGGAGTGCTGGTCCCTCGAGGGGACTTTCCAGAAGGGAAGAAAGCCCCGGAGGCCACAGCGCAGGATGCACCCACCCCGCTGCTAAATGCTCCGCAGCACCAGCAGTGAGAAGCCCCAGGCCGGGGGTTACTGTCCACCCGAGATGGACTTCTCCAGAAAGCGGTCTGGATCCTGACTCCCGAGCACAGCTAGGCCAGGCTCCAGAAGCCACCGCTTTCCTCAAGACCTCCACAGGGCAGGGAAGGTCCTAGTGAAAACAGCTTATTCCCGAGAGGAAAGGGGCAGGTCTGAGGAAGCAGCCCTCCCTCCACTCCCCTGCCTCATCTGTTCTGGGGACAGAAGGGACGGGTGTGTCCGGGCTGGTGGCAAAGGCTGCATTTCCGGGATTTCTTGGGCGTGGACCCCGTGTCTGTGGAACTGGCCCGGGCTCTTTTGCTTCTGGCCTCTGGCCCCTGGGTTCTTTCTCTGCCTCTTGGCCAGGTCAGGGCTCCGAAAGTCCCTGTGGGAAGAATTAGGGGAAGGTTGAATTCGGAACAGACACACCGAAGAGGCAGGAAGTCCAGGTCCAAGTGTTGGGTGCAGGGTGTCCCCCCAGCCTTGCACGGCCGTGTCCACCCCCAGGCCAGGCTCCCTTCCCTTCTGTCATCTTCAGTGGCCCCAACGCCACTCCCTGAAGAATCCAGAGCCCTTGAAGGCCTTGGCCCACAATCACTATCCTGATGAAAAGGGCACTGTTGTCACTTCACGCACGTCCTCTTTCCGGAAGCAGAGGTCCAGCCAACGGGCCTGAGGCTGCTGGAGAAGCAGCGAAACCCGGCAGGCCCGTGACCAACCACCTGCTCCCCACCTCCCATGCAAGTTAACTGAGTTCTGGATTCTTCCAGGCCTCAAACAGGCCTCTTAATTCTGACTGCCCTGGCGCCCAGGACAACTGATCAGCTGGCCTGGAGGTCAGACAGCGCTTCCTTCCAACAGGGCGACAAGGGAGCCTTGCACGCCCGAACCACCGCTCCTCACACACTTCCAACGTGAGCCTGTCTCCGGCCCCCCTCCGCCACCGGTAGCCAGCCCGGCGCCTTATCAAACCTTCTGGGTTCTTCCTGTACGTGCGAGCCGGCAACCCCGTGTGTCAGAATCATAGCCTGAGACTCCCTAACTCTTTTACAAGACAGGAACCCCAAGGAAGGCGGGCAAGCGCCCATCTTACTGAGGAAACCATGAGGCTGTGAGGCCAAGCCCTCTGTTCAAGGTTCCACAGGCAGGCTCGGGGCCCGGCTCTGCCCGACAACAGAGCTCCCACCAGGCCTTTCGGCCATGCTCACACGTGAGCTAAGCTTCTGCTGGGCACTGGGGCGGGCGGGGGCCGTTTTCGGGGGCCTCCGGGGCATTATCCACCTGGCTCCAATGTCTGGGGGGCAATTCTCACCACACCCGGTTTCGGGGCACCGGGCCCAAGCCGTGTAAGCCTGAGCGGGTTCCTAGACATCCCCAGGGGGGGCCAGGCTCCGCATTTGAAGGAAGGCGGCCGATGACGAGGACCTCGCGAGCCTACGGAGGCTAGAGGAGCCCAGGGCTGTGGGGTCGGGCCGACCTCGGGCCGCGTGGCCGTGGGACCCCGAGCAGGGGCAGCTCGTTTACCCTGGGCCTCCGCGGCCTCACAGGGCCGAGCCGACAGACGTGAAGACAGCCGGTATACTGGGCACAGCGCCGGGCACGCGGCAGGCTGCCCCGAGAGCTGCACCAGCCCCACCGCTGCCCTCGTCCCTCCCTCCGCCGCCCGGGTCTCCGAGGTGGAGACCACCAAGCAAACCCGAGCCTGGGCGCCCCGCCTCACCTGGGGCCACGTTCTCGTCCACCCACTGGAAGAAGCCGCACTGCTGCTCTCTGGGCTTGGCGCACGTGTGGAACCGGCGGCCCTTGTTGGGCCCGTCCTTCTGCACAGTGCGGGTGACGGTGGGCTGGCTGCACAGGCAGGACATGCCCCCGCCGCCGTCCTCATCTCCGGGTCGGCCGGACCCGCCCCGGCGGTCCCCTGTGGCGGGCGGGCGGCCCAGCAAGCCGCCGGTGGGTCTCGACGTGGAGGAGGGCGGCCCCCCGGCTTCCGAGGGGCTGCTGTCGGCCCACAGGAAGAAGCTGCAGCCGCCGCCGTGGCACTTATAGAACTGGCGGCCCTGGTTGGGGCCCTCCTTCCGCACGGTGAGCAGCACGGCCTCCTGGCCGCAGTTGCAGGTCACCGAGTTGCTGCCCTCGGCGGCGGCGGTGGGTGGGGGCAGCATCCGGGGGGCGCTGGCCATTCTATTCAGGGACTGGCTAGCCTGCAGGTAGTTAGAGGGCTGGCTGGCTGGCTGGGAAGCTCTGGGGGGGCCCCGTGAGAACCTCAGGTCCAAGATCTCCCGCAGCGTCTCGTCACATCCGCCGATGCAGCCGACAAACTCCAGGGGCATGGTCGGGGGAAGGCTGCCGCGTTTAAACTTTAACTTCAACCTAGCGAGGCCAGGAGATGCGAGAAAGCCTTACTACCAGCTGAAGTGTCTCCTTGTCCGCAGAGGGCTGCGCCCACCCCGGGCCTCCCCTCGGCACCCCCGCACCCCAGCACCTAACAGCCACAAGCCCCTCTGGGTGTCATGAGAGCTCAGAGTGGGAGACAGAAGAAATCTGAAACCCCGGTTAATCTCCCAAACACAGAAGCCGCGCGGCGCTTGGGTGGCTCAGTTGGTTAAGGGTCTGCCTTCGGCTCAGGTCATGATCCCCCAGGGTCCTGGGATCGAGTCCCACATCGGGCTCCCTGCTCAGTGGGGAGCCTGCTTTTCCCTCTCCCTCTGCCCCTCCCCTCTGCTCATGCTCTCACTCTCTCTCAAATAAATAAGTAAAACCTTAAAAAACACAGAAACCTCGGAAAGGTTCACTTCCTATAACCAGTGGTTCTTGGGCCCCTGGACGCTGCTGGTGAGGTCAGGACTATTTTGTAACAAGGCTAGGAAGTTACGTCTGTTGTGCTCTCGTCCTCCCATGCCATATGCATGAGTTTGCCGGAGGCTAGAGCCCACACGACCAGCCCAGTGGACTGACTGGGAGCAGACACCAGAGTCTAACTCTATCGAGCCAGATGTTAGACTCACAAAAATGGAAAACAATGCATTTTCTTTCTCCGTTTTCTGCTTTGCAAATAGGCATTTTCTTCTTACCTTTTTGCTTTACAAATACGTAAAAATATGCTATTTATCTTAGTATGCAGCGTACCTATTCTAAAATTAAAAAGTACATTTTTAAAACATCTCCACTTCAATTCAGAATATGGTAGTATTGATAAACTTAACCCACAATGAAAGCTCTCTGGGTGCCTTCCTCAATGATTTTTATTTTTACTTTTATTTTTTTTTAAAGATTTTATTTATTTATTTGACAGAGAGATAGCGAGAGCAAGAACACAAGCAGAGGCAGTGGGAGAGGGAGAAGCAGGCTTCCCGCTGAGCAGGGAGCCTGATGTGGGGCTCAATCCCAGGACCCTGGGATCACGACCTGAGCCGAAGGCAGACGCTTAACGACTGAGCCACCCAGGCGCCACCCCTCAATGATTTTTAAGAGTGTAGGGGTCCTCTGACCAAAAGGTTTGAGGACCAGTTCTACCCAAGGGCTCTGGGCTTTTGGGAGGAGCCTGGAAACACTATCTGACACCGGAATATTCACTTCCCCAACTCGGCTGGGCAGCAATCTAGCAATCTAGCTGGAACGGGCAGGGAAAGGGTGCCCTCGTGGTTCTTCAGGTGCATGGAGGGCTCCTCCCGAGCTGCCCTGGGACCTGCCCCCAGGCCCATGGCTTCCATACCACAAAGGCAAGGGTGGGACACAAGCCGACTCAGGACCACCAACCCAGCTGCTGCTGAGCGCGGCGAGCACGTCCCAGCCTCGCAGGGGCCCAGCTCACCTGTAAACAGGGTGCGGCTGACACACTGGACACACACTCTCGTCCCTGCTGGCCTCCAGCACAGAGTCCGGGAACCACATGGCCGATCGGCATTCTGGGAAGCCCGTGCAGCTGAGGTAGAACCTGGAGAGGGAGCACAGGGAGCAGGGTCGGGCAGAAGCCACCGGACTGCAGGAAATACACATTCCTGGGCTGTCGCCCATCTGGCAAAGAAGATTTTCTCCAGCTGATTAAAAGGAGACATTCACTTTTCTGGAGGACACATAAATGGATGCGCAGTCGCTGGTACTGAATGACTGAGAAAAACTGGCCTGCATTTATTTCTCATCTCCCTAAGAAAAAGAAACTGCTCTTGCTGACTCCGCTTTCTACTTAGAAACCACCACCCGCTGACCAACTCCTGGGCCACGGCAAGGCCCAGTCCCGAGGGCTCTGCTCAGGCTCCAGGCCGCGTGCTCTCAGATGCTCCCTGACTTCTCCACATGACAACCCCGATGGGGACCAGCAGCACCCTCAGTTCACAGTGGGGCAAACAGGCGGGGGGCGGTCTGGAAACCTGCCCAAGGATGCACGCGCAGTAAGCGGGGGCGCTGGGAAGAGAGCCCTAGCTGTCTGATGGAAGAGTCTTTATTCCGGACACCGGCACTGCGTCGTCGGCCAACAGTTCTTTGCGGCTTCCAGTCACAAAACTTTAGAGCCAGAAAAGCCAATGGGAACACAATTTACAAAGTCCTCTGAGCATGCCTGGCTATGACGTCCTCTGAGCATGCCTGGGTATGGCTGGATCAGGGGAAAGCCACCCAACAAAACCTCAAAGCCCAATTATTCAAAGAGCAAACCTACAAACTCAGAAATGGAAACTGGCACATACCCCTCAGAGCGGTAAATCCCACAGGACGATCTCCAGACCTCCCCGGCTGACCCAAGCACTTGGAGCGTTTACGAGTATCCTGCACCGGGCTAAGCCCACCCTGGCACTGCCTTCTGTGTTTGTGGGCATCCCAAGTCCCAGGTCAGGCCCATTAACCTCTGGTTTCTGAGAGCCAGGCTGGCCTTCTCTGTGCCCGGGCCAGTGATGGGTCAGTAGTTGGGGAATCCAAGGGGGTCGGAGGAATGAAGGACCTGGGATCAAATTCTGCTCTTCCTGACCCCCAGGGCTGGATTTTGGAGACATTTCACTAAATCCTCACCCTTCCCATGGTAGACACCACTGACCTAGGCTTATGGGAAAGGAAATTGGGGCTCAGTAGCTAATGTAACCTGCTTTGGGGCACAAAACTTGTGTATGTGGCAGAAGTGGGATCTGAACTCAGACCCAGCTGGTTCCTCAGCTCCTCCTTCCCCACCATCATCCACACGGTGGGTGGGCGATGTCCCATCCACAAGGGACACAGCGGCACCATCATCCCCCACCCCCTCTGAATCCCAGAGCACTTCACGTCTCCAAGGCCAGGTCCCTGTCAGCTACCCTTCTATCTCCAATACCTAGTCCATGGGCCGGCAACGGTAGGACCGCCTTTAAATAATGACACAGAAATGAAATGACAGGGCCTCTCAGAGAGTGTCCAGCCAACCCAGCAAGTGCTGGGCAAGCAGATGTACGGCACTGACCCGCCATTCTTCTTGGTCCTGAGGACCATGTCCTTGTTGCACTGTGGACACTTCGTGATGGGCTCTGGCATGCTCGGGTAGATGGCTTCTTGCTGGGCCACCTCTGCCCCTTCCCCAAAGTACTGGGCTAATGCCTCATCCAATCTGAAGAAAGAGCAAAACATTCACAATATTCTTTTTTTTTTTTTTTTTTAAGATTTTATTTATTGGGATGCCTGGGTGGCTCAGTCGGTTAAGTGTTTGCCTTCGGCTCAGGTCATGATCTCAGGGTCCTGGGATTATGACCTGAGGCGAAGGCAGATGCTTAACTGACTGAGCCACCCGGTACCCCTACAATATTTTAATTTAATTTATTTATTTGACACAGAGAGAGCAAGAGAGAGACAGAGAGCAAGCACAAGCAGGGGGAATGGCAGGCAGGGGAGAAGCAGGCTTCCTGCTGAGCAAGGAGCCCGATGCGGAACTCAATCCCAGGACCCCGGGATCATGACCTGAGCCGAAGGCAGCCGCCCAACTGACCGAGACACCCAGGTGCACCCCCTACAATATTCTTATGTGCACACCAGGTGAATTTGACCAGGGCGAAGGGGGCTGCTCACCACAGGCCTGATGCAGAGAACAGAGGTTGGCCAAGCAGCCCTGGCTCCTCTCTGGCTCCCAGCAGCTCCCAGGAGGGATCCAGCTACAGGTAGGTACTTTTGCCTTGTCACTGGCCTCACATCAAACTGCACAGGGTCCCTGCACGCACTCCAGAAATGCCTGTCTGGGTTTACATTTAAGCTAGCTCATCCGTTCCCCACCCTGGCCTTTTTTTTAAAGATTTTATTTTGGGGGACACCTGGGTGGCTCAGTCGGTTGAGCGTCTGACTCTTGATTTCGGCTCAGGTCATGATCTCAGGGTTGTGGGATTGAGCCCCGTGTGAGGTTCTGCGCTCAGCACGGAATCTGCTTGAAATTCTCTCTCCTGTCCCTCCCCCAACTTGCATGCGTGCTCGAGCACACTCTGTCTCTAAAAATAAATTTAAGTAATCTCTACACCCAACGTGGGGCTTGAACTCAATCCCGAGATCTAGAGTCACATGTTCTACCGACTAAAGCCAGCCAGGCGCCCCGGCTCATCCATTTCTTTCCCTAGTTGGCACGGGGCAGAAAAGGTGTATTTCCCCAACAACATGCCCACATACTGCTTGCTACATGACCACCTCCAAATACTCCATAGAACAAATGTGTCAGACTGAATTTACGGCTCGGGACTGTGTGCCTGTTAACTTGAGACAGAATTAAAATCCAGAGAATGGCATCTCTAAAGCCAACAGCCTGAAATAACTGGCCCAGATTTTTCTGCTTACGGTTTCTGGGCTGACAAAGCTCTACAGAAGGAACAGAACTCGGGAGGAAAACCCGAAGGGGGAGCAGCTGCACGTGGACACCCAAGCATGACAGCCCTGCAGAAGGCGAACTGGCCTGGGGGACGCTGAAGCACCCGCGGGCACACGTGACGAGGAGCGAGGAGGCGCGTCCCCCGCTTTCTGCTGAATCTTCCCCGCTCTCACTGCTCAGGGCAAGGGCACGGCCCAGGAGGCAGAGCTAAATGACCTCACGCGCAGGCAAGTAGGGTCTGGACTCACTTCTTAGCTTTGGCCACCGCTTCAACGAAAACCTCCTTGTATTTCTGGACTTGCTGCCTTAGAACCACCCACTTGTCCTTCTTGCCTTCACAGATCAGCTTCAGGTCAGCTTCCAGCTCGGCCCGAAGGTCAGGCTTGGACATCTCATAGCCCATGGAGTCATAACCTGCAGGGAGAAGAGCAGTGTTCCGCGGGGCCCCACGCAGCTCCCCCGGGGGCTTCAGCCGCCTGGCTCTGCAACCACCCACCTCAAACTCCTGCTTACCTTCCACGAGCCCCATGCCCAGATGCCCTGGGAGGAACCGCTTGTCTGCCGTGAGCCCGACATACATCCGGGCTTTGATTGTCTCGATGTGCTCCGCGTGGGTGGCATCAGTCCCTGAAAGCCACTTCCGTTACTCAGCGTGATGCAGACACCCCCCTCCCCGCTGTCCCACAGGCACCTTCCTCTGCCTGGACTCCTCATTCTCGGTAAGACACCTCCACTTGCATCAGGCCCACGCCAGCTCTGAGACACCTCTAAGTCTTTCTCCTCCGCTCCACGTGGCAAAGCCACGGCTGGAACCCACATCACGTCCTCGGCATCAGGACAATGTGCTCAGTCTCCACCTTTCTGGTCGCATCCTCCACCCAACCCATTTCTTATGCTGTGGCCAAAGGGATCTTTGCAAATGGAGCTCTGTCATCAAGGAGATGCAACTCAAAAGCACAAAGAAACACCACACTTCACACCCACTTGGTGTGAAGCGTCACCGAAAAGCACAGAGAACAAATGTTGGTGAGAACTCGGAGAAACCTGAACCCTCACACGTGGCCGGTGGGACGCGAACGGCGGTCGGTCCAGAGGTTCCTCAGAAGGTAAACACAAGAGCGACCATCAGACCCAGCAATTCTACTCCTAGGTATCTACGCAGGGGAACCGCAAACCCGTCCACATACAAACCTATGCACAAATGTGCGCTGCGACATTATTCACAATTGCCCCAAACCAGAAATGCCCTGAATTCCACCAACGGATGAATGGATAAACTGTGGTCTCTGCACACAGTGGAACAGTACAGGGAACAGAAAGGAAGCAAGTACTGATTCGCGCTACAATGTGGACGAGCCGTGAGAACTCACGAAGTGAAAGAAGACAGTTACAAAAGGCCACTCGCTTTATCATTCTATGTATACAAACTGTGTAAAACATGCAAATCTACTGAGTCAGAAAGATGAGTGGTTGCCCAGGGCTGGAGCGATGGAGGGGAGGGGGAATGGGGTGAGACTGCTAAGGGGTATGGCATTGCTTTTGGAGGCGATGAAAACGTTCTAGAATTAAGTAAGGTGATACTTGCCTGATTTTGTGACTACACTGAGTAACTTAAATCAGTATGTGAATTATGTCTCAACAACGCCGCTAACGTTTTTAAGAAATGCAGCTCTCTTTGCTCCTTTCCTCAGAAATCTTTTTTTTAAAAGATTTTATTTATTTATTCATGAGAGACAGAGAGAGAGAGAGAGAAGCAGGCTCCCAAGGAGCAGGGAGCCCGATGTGGGACTCGATCCCAGGACCCTGGGATCATGACCTGAGCTGAAGGCAGATGCTTAACCATCTGAGCCACCCAGGCGCCCTCCTCAGAAATCTTAAATGGCTCTCTGCGAGCCACAGGCCCACACCCAAGCCCCTCAGGCCAGCGTGCCAAGCCCTGCACTTGGGCTCCAATCATCTTTCCAGCCTCACCTTCCGTGACCACCCCGTCTGCTCCCCACCACAGGGCCACGTGCTCTCCGGGCCCTTTGTGCTCCCTCACGCTCTGCCTGGGCCGGGCTTGCTTCACTCCCCAGGAACTCTTACTGTAAGGTTTTACGGTCCCTGCCCGATCTCTGCAGAGCCAACAGGCTGTGTTTGTGTGTTGCTTTGATTTGTTTCTCCTGCTAGACGAGCCCTCGACGGGCACGGGATGCCTAGGCCTTATTCCTCACTGTGTCCCCGGGGCCAAGACCAAGGTCTGGCTCTCGTGAGCGTCACATTTGTAATGAGTACATCCTGAGCAGTACACGAACTCTAATTTGACTTAAGCCGACAGGCTTTCTGGATAGCATGACAACGGCCAGTGGACTCCAAGAGGGGCCCTTCTTCCGAAGTCACAGAACTACAAAAGCCACTGGGTAGTGAGGTGGCCGTCCGTGCCCCACGGGGAACGGCCTGCTGCCGGAACACGCCCAGGGAGCTCTACTTCTCCTTCCTGCCACTTCTCTCTCCATCACGCCGCTGCCCTTCTGAACTGGGTTTGCCAGAGACGATCCTCAGAGTCGTGATGAAACGGACGAGGGGGCAGCAGACCTGCCTGTCAACCCGTGGCCACGGAACCTATTGGGAAAACCAATTCTGGCCTAATTTCTTGTTTAACCTCATTTCAGTTCCTAAACAATCAGGGGAAACGCTGTAACAGAAACTCCGAGCACGGCCAGCTGTGGCTACCTGCAGGGTGACCAACCCAGACGCCGCCGGGGCCTGGCACGGAACGACTGGTGAGCGAAGCCAAGTGAGAAGAGGCAGCTGCCTTCCCAGTTCAACCAACTGCTTCCACCTGGGAGGGAAAGCTTGGGCTGCCAGACCTCCCGACACTTCTCAAGACGAAGACACAGACGTTTATGTGGAATCTCTCAACTTTTGAATGTTGGTACCTTATTCGAGATAAAAACAAACCCCTGTGTGGGCCAAAAATCCTGAGTCCATGGCCAGGACCTGGCCAGGGTGCTCCCAGTCCAGCCCGTCCCCGCCACCGAGTTCTGGGACATATCCATGTCCTGATCCAGCTGGGGTGGAGCAGAGGTTAAGAGCCTAAGTGTGGACTTATTCAGACCAAGGTTTTAATAACTCGCACAACAGAGCACGTGGGTGGCTCAGTGGGTTGAATTTAGCCAGGTCGTGATCTCTGGGTCACGGCATAGAGCCCCGCGTGGGGCTCCGTGCTGAGTGGAGTCTGCTTGGGATTCTCTCCCTCTGCCCCCTGCCCCCCCCCACTCTCTCTAAAATACATAAAATAAATCTTAAAAAAACAAACCAAAAAAACAAAAAACCTCGCACACCTCGTGGCCTCAGGCATGTTCTGAACTTCTCTATGCCTCCCTTCAGCTATAAAGGGGATCAAGAAGAGGACACCCACGGCAGAGCTGTCACGAAGACCAGAAGACATACAAGAGCTGCTGGTTACCACGACGACAGGCTACTGACCAATGCCGTGCTTTTCCATGAGGGCGATGAGGTCGGCTTCGGTGAGCAGCTGGGGTGGGCTGGTCTCCCCGTCCACCATCTCCACAGTGCTGGGCTGGAAGCAGGCACCTCTCTCGTAGACAGGGAGGGTCTACAGGGAGGAGCAGAAGCATCGGTCCGATCACTCCACGCAGCACTGAGGCAAAAGACAACTGCCATTTTGAAGCGCTTGGCCCTGTTCCGTCGGACGGCATGAGGGTCAGGAACACGACTGTCTTCCCCTCTCCCCGAGGCTCACGGAGAACGTGAACTCTGACCTCTGACTGGGCCTGCGCTTTATTACCTTGTCACTCCAGTGGTCATATGGGTACACGTCCAGATAGTTTCGGGCCAAAATCATGAGGCCATGGGCCACGAAGCGTTCCTGCGCAATGTCAATCTCCACGGTGGTCTCCTGTCCCTGAGCATCCTGGGAGCAGCAAGCCAGGAAATGCCGCACAATGAACTCGTACAGTCGCTGCTCATCCCCCTAGGAAGACAAGAGAAGAGTCTGCAACTCCCTGCAGAATATTACCGCCCAAGGACCGCAGCCTCACCGGAAGTCTGACCTGGTTTAGGCCACCTTTCAGCCTCGAGTTCTGCACAGAAGAGGGCACGTGGCTCCTGTAGGTTCTGCACCCGCACGGAGTGCCAGGCAAACATGCCCGATGTTTTCTGACATAAACCCAGCCGAAGGAGAAAACGAGGTAAAAGCGTAACAGCTAACAAGAGACCCCTTGTGTACAAGACACGGAAAGCTGTAGCCAGCAGCCCCGGCTCCCAGGGTTTGCGGTGATTTTCTACCAGGTAAGTAATCAAGGGTCTAGTGAGCCTCGATCTGTCAAAAGCCCCTAAGACACTCATACTCACGGCCAGTAATTCTCCTTCTAAGAACGGATCCCAAGGAAATAACGGGAGGTCCACACAGACACAGACATAAACGTTAACTGTCATCACGTCTCAGAAAGTTGGGGGCAATTTATTCTTTTTTTTTTTTATTTTTAAAGATTTTATTTATTTATTCATGAGAGACAGAGAGAGAGAGAAGCAGAGGGAGAAGCAGGCTCCCAAGGAGCAGGGAGCCCGATGCAGGACTCGATCCCAGGACCCCGGGATCATGACCTGAGCCGAAGGCAGACGCTCAACCGTCTGAGCCACCCAGGCGCCCTTGGGGGGCAATTTATTCTTAAAAAACACATTTGGCGGGCGCCTGGGTGGCTCAGTTGGTTAAGCGACTGCCTTCAGCTCAGGTCATGATCCCGGGGTCCTGGGATTGAGTCCCGCATCGGGCTCCCTGCTCCTTGGGAGCCTGCTTCTCCCTCTCCCACTCCCCCTGCTTGTGTTCCCTCTCTCGCTGTGTCTCTCTCTGTCAAATAAATAAATAAAAAATCTTAAAAAAAAAAACAAAAACACATTTGGCAAAATAAATTATGGTATATCTACACGATCATTAAGTGTCGTACTTGAAAATATTTCAGCATATGGGGAAATAGCAAATGTTTCTTCCTTATAATCTTCTGAATTTCCTAAACTGTCTAAAACGAACACATACCACATTTAAAGCCAGAGAAGAACGTATGTATTAATAAAAGAAGGAAACAAAGACCAGACCGGATTTAGCTTTGCAATAAGCCTGCAAACAAGCCCAACCAGCTTGGCCTCACGGAGTGCATCCCCCAGCTGAGGAAGGGCGGGAGCAGGTGAGATGCCTGAGCTTTCTCAGGGCTGCCTCAGAGCCCTGCCGCCCCTGGACGGCGACAGGAGGCCAGTGTCGGGTGTCACCGCCTCAGGACGGCAATGGAACCCGGTCCAGTCTGGGGAGGCCCCATGGGGGCTGTGCAAAGGCACAGGGAAGGTGAACTGCCCAGCCAGGTGTGGAGGGTCTGACAGAGCGGGAAGTGGGGCTGCACAGAGTAGACCCAACCTGGGGGGCGGGAGGGGGCTCATGGAAGCCAAGCAGGATGGTGAAGCAAGAGAATTTTGACACTGACATCTCTTTGCTAAAATGTAAGAGCTATTTCAAAATCACTTAGTTCCTAAAGTAAGAGCCCGCAGAGTACAGTCAAGTGCTACTGACCCCTCGCTTCCCCATGGGTTCCAGGAGGCGGGGTTAGGGAAACCGACCTGCAAGCTGTCGGTGTATTTGGTGGGGTGGATGGGAGGGTGAGCTTGGTCAGACTTGTTCCCGTTGCGTGGAGTGGGGCCACCCCGCTCTAGAATGCTCTGGGCGAAGGCCCCCCAGCGTGGATCCAGGGTCTGCTGCTCCACCAGCATGGTCAGGTTCAAGTCTTTGGGGAAGATGTTTGTTTCAGTACGAGGATAGCTGATGTACCTAGAACAAAGACAAACAAAGGGAAAAAGAAATTGCTTTAATTGCTCTAGAAACAGCTGAATTAGACTGGAAACCCCCGGAGACACCTGTCCTGCCCCATCTGCCTTAGCGGGCTCAACGGAAGGCAACCTAGTTTCCCTCTGCTGAGGAAGGTTCTCACATGGGACCCACAATGGGGTGAGTAACAGCAGGCTCGCTGGCTGAGATGCTCCGAGAAGCCAGAGCGTAAGTGAGGGGGCAGCACGGGGTGGGACACACTCCCGCTAGGCCTGCCAGCACCTGTGTGGCCGGGGACACAGCCCCGGCCCGATCCCTCGTTGCTCTGCCAGTGACCTGCACAGCCTTGACAGTGGCAATGGAGCCTGCTTCTACGACTTCGCTTCGAGCACAGAAAGAATAATGCTGGGGGGCACCTGGGTGGCTCCATCAGTTAAGCATCTGCCTTCGGCTCAGGTCATAATCTCAGGGCCCTGGGATCAAGTTCCAGGTTGGGCTCCCTGCTCAGCAGGGAATCTGCTTTTCCCTCTGCCCCTCCACTCAGCCCTCTCTCTCTCTCTCTCAAATAAGTAAATAAAATCTTGAAAAAAAATTAAAAAATAAATGTTTAAAAAAAAAACAGAGAAAGAATAATGCTGCCTAATAAACCATAATGTGGACCCTCCGTGTAATTTAACATTTTTTTATTGGCCACTTAAACAGCATTAATGAGATAATTTACATTCTTGTTTCCATACAAGTCTTCAAAACCCAGTGCATATTTTACACTTACAGCACATCCCAAATTTCAAGTGTTCAACAGTCCCCTGTGGTGAGTGGCTGCCACGCTGGTTGTGAGGACCACACTGTCCCTGGATGGTTTACGATGGCAAACGACTCCCAAAGGTGCTGTGTGCCACCTGCCAAGGCCCTGGGGGCAGCTGCTGAGAGGTCAACAGTGGGATGGGAATTCACTCTATGGGCTCTTATTTTAGGAAGTGATTTTGAAATGCCTTTTTCATATCAGAAAAGTGAGCGTCGGGGCGCCTGGGTGGCTCAGTCGTTGAGTGTCTGCCTTCAACTTGGGTCATGATCCCAGGGTCCTGGGATCGAGCCCCACATCGGGCTCCCTGCTTGGCGGGAAGCCTGCTTCTCCCTCTCCCACTCCCCCTGCTTGTGTTCCCTCTCTCTGTGTGTCTCTCTTTATCAAATAAATAAATAAAATCTTAAAAAAAGAAAAGAAAAGAAAAGTGTCAAAATTCTTTTACTTCAGAGTTCAGGTGATGTCTAGACAGTCTGTATTTTCCCATAAGCTCTAAAATGTTTTACCCTGGGGCCCCTGGCTGGCTCAGTGGGTGACTGTGTGACTCTTGATCTTGGGTTGTGAGTTCGAGCCCCATGTTGGGCGTGGAGATTCCTTAAAAATAAAATCCTTTTAAAAAATAAAATAAAATGGGGCGCCCGGTGGCTCAGTCAATTAAGTGTCTGACTCTTGATTTTGGCTCAGATCATCATCTCAGGGGTGTGAGACTGAGCCCCGCGCTGGGCTCTATGCTGAGTGTGAAGCCTGCTTAAGATTCTCGCTCTCCGGGGCGCCTGGGTGGCTCAGTTGGTTAAGCGACTGCCTTCAGCTCAGGTCATGATCCTGGAGTCTCAGGATCGAGTCCTACATCGGGCTCCCTGCTCGGCGGGGAGTCTGCTTCTCCCTCTGACCCTCCCCGCTCTCATGCTCTCTCTCTCTCATTCTCTCTCTCTAATAAATAAATAAATAAAACCTTAAAAAAAAAAAAAAGATTCTCGCTCTCCTGGGGCGCCTGGGTGCCTCAGTCGTTAAGTGTCTGCCTTCGGCTCAGGTCATGATCCCAGGGTCCTGGGATCGAGCCCCAAACCAGACTCCCTGCTCTTCGAGAAGCCTGCTTCTCCCTCTCCCACTCCCTTTGCCTGTGTTCCCTCTCTTCCTATGTCTCTCTCTGTCAAACAAATAAATAAAATCTTAAAAAAAAAAAAAAAGATTCTCGCTCTCCCTCTGCGCCCCCCTCTCTAAAAATAAATAAAGTATTTCACCCTGACAAAGATGCACTGAATTCTATTCCCAAATGTGGAATATTTACCCTTGAGTGTAGAGCTTTTCGGCAATCCTCATGGTTTCTTTAGCATTTATTCTCAACTTTCGAGAAGCCAGCTTCTCAAGCTCCTGTTAAACGTGTCACAGGCAAGTTAGGGCGTAGTGCAGGAGTCAGAGGGCACAGCACGGCCACACAACTCATCTTCACAAATGTCTGGCCCCTGTCACTCCAGCTGCTGTCACACAGAGGGGGAAAGACTGTGCTGAGGAAAGCTTTCTGGGCCTGCTGGGCAGGGACGGGGTAGATCTGATGGGCAGAAGCAAGAATCACCCAGGGAGGCAACAGACTCCCGGGCCCTGAGCACTGACAGAAGAGGGCTGGGATAGAGGCCAGAAATCAGCATTTTTCAACAAGCCAGCTAATACACAGATTCTAACACAGGCAGTCTGGGAACCGAACTTTGGGAACACCACCCGGGCCCTAGTAACTTCTCCTGGTGACGAATACCATTCTTCAAGAACTCCTGGGAGATAATTGGCTGTTCTTCCCCCTGGTGACATTCCACCAATGCTGATGGCTGTATGTGAAAGCATACTTAACCAGTGAGGAATAATACACTTATGTCTGTTATAGGAAATCAATCCATAACTCTCCCCTTGTCAATCCAACCACACACACACACACACACACACCATGCCACACCACAGATCAAGAATACACTGCCCACCAGTCCCTGCATGTTTCTCTTAGCCTGCTTGCTCTGTATGTTCAATCTCTAGGGTGAATCCCGACAGAAACTATACTCTGAATTTTCCTGCAAAGTGGTCTTTGGGAAAGGGCACCCCCTGCCCCAAGGTAGTTAACTCCAAGTTATGTCCAACGGGGGTGGCTCTAAAAATTTGAAAAACTCTGTTCCCTTTAAAGTAGGCTATTAATGCAGATTTTTAAAAATGATGTGTATACAGATTATGCAGAAACATTAAAAAAATGCTTGGGCGGAAAAAACAACCTATTCCAATTACAACAATGAAAAATACACGCGTATGAAAAAAATAGGAAGACACTCCGATTGTATCAGAGATTGCGTAAGGCTGGCAAGGTGAGGGGTGATGTGTCTTCCTCTTGAGGCTTCCCAAACCCCACACAAAGCAGCTATACTGCATTTATTAACTTACAAACAAACAAAAAAACCAAACCCCAGCATTAGAAGACTAAGCAGGCCCTGTTTTGGGGCTTTTTTCTTCCCAAGCACTTTCCTACACGGCTCTGTAAAGGGTGATGTTTCCTGCCACTGGGCCACTATCTGCCGCAGAAGCCGGGTCCCCACCACGGGAAGTCAGCGCTCCTGAGCACCTGGCACACTCTTCTGGAACATACCACAGTGTCCAACGCTTGAGGCCTCCACTTGCTCTTTGCCTTAGACCTGACCTCCACCACGGTTGCCCTGGGATCCTAGAAAGCCAGAAAAAGCAGAGGCCATAGTAACCTGTTGGTGCACCTTCTCCAACATTCCTGCGGCAGCCTCAGCTCACCATTCTGGACGACACCACCAGCAGAGGTCCCTGCTCCGGCCGGGAGAGGACCTCGAGTGAGGTCGGCTTGTAGCCCACAGTGTGGTGGAGACATCACCACCTTCCCGCTCAAACCAAGGCTTTGAGGGGCAACTTCATAAGCCCTCACAACAGCCTGTGCATCTCCGAAGAACCGTTTCCTATCTATACGTGCAGTGTACATTTTTCTTTTTTTAAATTCGGGATAATACCAAGTCAGAAATAGGAGAAATTATACACTACAAGCTGGAGAACTCAATCTTAAGACTGACTTCACACTTTTTCTTTTCTTTTTTTGAGACAGAGAGCAGGGTAGGGAGGGGCAGAGGGAGACAGAGAGAATCTTAAGCAGGCTGCATGTCCAGCGTGGACCCCGACGTGGGGCTCGATCTCACAACCCTGAGATCATGACCTGAGCTGAAATCAAGAGCCGGATGCTTAACCGACTGAGCCTCCCAGGCGCCCTGCCCAACTTCAGACTTTTAAGAGACTATAAATGGACAAAGAACTCAGTCTAACTGATTTGTTGATGAGGACATTTGTATTTCAAAATCCACATTTCTCCCCGCAAATGGGAGTTGGCTCCAGGTGCTCTTTACAAGGAACGCGAAAGTATCCAACTTGCCAGGCCTTCCTGCACCACATTCTAGCGAAGTAGAAAAAGGACAGCTCTCTTTTATTAACAGATAAATGTGCAGTGTCACAGACATGCCAGTGGTTGCGTGACCTCTAGGGTCAAAGGGTGGAGCAGTGGGGAGAGTGACTCCTGGGAGGCAGTGTGGTCTGCAGAAGGGGCTGGATAGTCACATACACGGGGATCCAGCCGTGCTCTGCTCCTCATTAGCTCCAGAGTCTGTGCACAGGTTACTTAACTTCCTCCCACATCGCCTGTAAGGTGGGGACAGCATCACCACCCTCATGGCACCAGGAGGACTGAATAAAATCACATAAGACTGGCACTGTAGCAGCTGCTCACAAGTTACCATCCCCCTTCCCAAATCACTACTAAACCTGCCTGGGGCCTTCGGCCAGGGGCACACATGACCCATCGAAGTAGAGATCTCTGAGCTTTCCTTGAGCACCACTGTGTGGACGATCGGTCCAAGGGTCACAACTCGGCCACTGACCAGCCCGTGGCCCTCTGATGTGCTGCACTCTCCTGATCCGTGCTTCCCCCAGGCTCTCCTGTGGCTGGCTGCCTCCTGCTAATCACCCTGACCTTCACTCAGAGGTCACCGTGAGAGGCCTTCCCTGACCACCCCATCTAGAACATTCCCGCTCCCTGCCCCCCGCCCCCAAGGCAGGTTTCTGTTCCTTTACCCTTTTACTTCCTGGCATCAGTCCCCGTATGAAATTCACTTGTTCATTTGTGACTTTCTTCTCTCTAGATCTCCTCATCCGACCAGTGGAAGAGGAGGCTGGACCAGATACTGTCTAAACTCCTTCCAGCTCTAGAAGTCTATTGTTCTAGACTGCTCTAGAAGATCCCGAGTTGTCTCCGGTGACAGCATTCTGCTGCAGGGAGAGACTGAAGCTATACAGTTCTTACAGTTTCTGACTTCATCTAAAAGGTCTACAGACCCTTTACTTTCAGATTGTTGAGCGTTGTTTTCATGGAGTTCTGGTCTTATTGGTTCCCCAAAAATGATACTGAGATGCAAGCGGAAAGCTATGGTTCAGAAGGAAAATGGAGCAGGATCACCTCCCCTAAGAGAAGGACTGGCTTGGGAACCTACAGAACGGTTTTCCCAGATCATTAAAATTCCAAATATTTCTTACCTCCATGCACAGCTGGTAGAGGACAAGACAAGCCGTGTGGTTAAAGAGACGATGCCTTTTCCAGTTGAAATCTACGACTCCATCTTTGTGGTCATGAGTTACTGTATTGGGGACAAATGGGAAGGCCGTGACTCACGGAAGCCACATGATAGGACAGAGAGGAGAAAGTATATTGCAGTGGAAGTCCAAAGGGATATGAAACATTGCTTTGGGAATATTTTGGGTCCCTAAGAAAACTAAGTGGATTCTGAACCTTGTAACAGGGTGGGAGGAAGGACAGCAAGGCTGAAAAAGTTAATTAGTGCCATTTATGCTCTCGGTTCTTCCCAGGCCCTTGGGCTCCACGCCATAAACAACTCCCCCAGCCTTACCTTTAATTTTGTGGAAGGTTTCTGGCACAAAAGCCTGAATGGCTTTGAACCTCTCCACCACGAACCCCAGGGTCGGGAACTGGCAGCTGCCGTAACTGATCAGCTGCTCTGCCAACACTTCTGGAAAAATCCTCTGAAGCCTCAGGGTTTGGAACCTAGTGAAGGCAGCTCCTAGAAAGTGAGGGAGGAAGGAAGAAGGAAGGAGAAAGTGGTGGACTGTAAGATCAAAGCTAGCTGCACATACTTACACACGAACATCATTCTCAGTTCTGTAACCCAACACCCAGTGTGCCACGTGGGCGCCCAGGAGTTCACCGGTGGCTCACCAATCCTCAGGTCCAGCTCCTGCCTCACGTCCACGGCATCGCTCACTCTCTGATCGGGCTCGGTCAGGTTTTCACAGGCCGCCCGGACGGCTCGGGGGGTGATCTCAGAGAAACGGGCTCTCAGCACCGGGAGACTGGGCTTCACTGTGCAAGAATCACCAAGGTCAAAGTCAAATCACATTGCCGTCCCAGCATAAAGGGCCCATTTTTCTTAAACCACCCTGAATGGAAGGAAAACCATCTCAAGACGATGTGAGGCACCCAATTTTCTGATTAGGTTAAATAAACAGCATGCCTAGCCACCTAAGAGGAAAACTTCACTATAACCGCTAAACTTAGTGTTGTGAGAAATAACAGTGGTATGAATTTTAGGGATTCAAGTGAATCTCAGCTATTCTCTTGGTGAGCCTCTCAAGATCCTAATCTCACTTGCTCTCTTAGACACTTACGGAAAATAAAAACGTTGTCAATGGAAAGATCCTACGGGGGAATTTTACGTCCTGGCATGGAAATAACACAGGACACGTACACTGTCCCTGAAAGTTAATGTGCTTAAATTCCCAGGAGTCATTACAGCTTTCAACACAAACACACTTTGGGAAAACGGAAGCCGTCCACTCTCTGAAGCCTGAGGATGGGCCACACATCACTTCCTCTAAGTTACCTGAAGTCATTAGCCCTGTTCGAGTCACTTAAATTCATTTCAACAAGTACGTGTTAATATCCCGGTACTGTACAAAGAACACAGCAGACAAACACGACATTCTAGAATTATTCTTTGTACTGCACGTATGTTGTGTATACGTTCTCTTAGAAATATTCAATACGTAAAGAAAGAGGATATACAAAGTCCCTGCTCTTGAGGAGCTGGCCATGTACTTGGACCTAACACGTCACAAGCCCTAGGCTACATGGTCTGTGCCACTGGTTAACTCATTTAGTCCTTATGCAGCCCTAACAGCTGTGTCAGACTGGCCTGACTTTCCAGAAAGCTGAGGCTCCCGAGGGTTTAGTAACTTGCTCCAGGACACATAGCTGGGGAGAACTGATGGATCCAGGGGGGAGACTCTCTGGGGAGGAACGCAGCCACGGCCCGTCCGCACAGGGGAACCATCTACTTCTGTGGTCCCAAACTACGGAAACTCAGAAGCCACAGCACTTACCGGCCCTGCATACATGGATAATTTCAAACCCGATATTTTCACCTTCTCTATCACAGTCGGTCCAGATCACCAGGGCCTGGCACTGCCGAGTCTCTCGTTCCAGAGTTTTCTGAAATTCCCAGTGGGGAAAGAGCAGGGAGAGCACAAATGCAATCACTTAACACCTCTCCGCTAAAGAGATCTGACTGAAGACTAGTGATGTTCTTGGAACATGGCAACTTGGCGAGAAGGAGAGATCTGGGAAACTGCTCTTACCACCTCTAAGGATGCCAAGGCCAACAGTACAATCCTCCAGCTTAGAACCACAGACCTGTAAGTGAGCTTCTAGAAGCCGGAGGGTTTAATACAACTACCCTAGTCTGATGAAACCTGAAACTCAGTTCTAACACATACTTGTAACTCTCATGGCTCTGTTAATGAACTGGTCCAAAAAAAAAAAAAAAATCCCTAAATTGAGTTTTGCCCCCAAGAAGGCTTCCCAGTTAGCAGTGAACTAATTATAGGTGCCCTGACTGCTTGAGAACTCATAACTTGCTGTCAAATGACCCTTTACACTTTGTCGTCTCTCCATGTTAATTAGGGCTGAATCTAGGATTAATAACTTAACAATATTATCCCTAGGATTTAAACAACCACTACTTACAAAAAAGCTTACTTTAGTTCCTTGGCTACTTAGTTTAAATGGCCTCATTTATATGATGAGTGGGAGTAATTTTTAAAAGCATGGTACTGGGACGCCTGGGTGGCTCAGTCGGTTGAGCGTCCGACCTTTGGTTCACATTGTGATCTCAGGGTTGTGGAATCGAGCCCTGAGTTGGGCTCCACGCTTATCGTGGAGTCTGCTTGGAATTCTCTGTCTTCCTCTACCTCTACCCCTCCCCCCACTCACATTCTCTCTCTCTCTAAGAGAAATAAAATCTTTAAAAAGTATGTTAAAAAATAAATAAAATCATGGTACTAAGTGTGGTGGGAAACTTGATCTCTAAATTCTAATGCATTCAGAACACAGGAATCACAGTTCAATTATTTTGTACTTGGAAGCTGCTCAACTCCAGTGCCACATGTCTTCTAAAACATCCTACCTTGATGTCTACAAAATTCTCTGGGCAGTACTTTTCAATTTCTGCTTCAAAGAGGACAAGGGGATTGCAGCTCTGCCTAGAAAAGAAATGAAAACACAACATATCCAACCTCAGCACAGGATGGAAAGTCCCCCATTTTAATGAGAAAAAATTGCTCCAGTGATGGATCCCCAACAGAAAAAGTCCCACATGAAAACGCCAGAGAATTAAAATCAAGGCTACGACCCTCTGTACAAAGCCCTTCCTGCTTTCTGTGACAACAGGAGTGGCCAAGAAGAAATTCTGGGACTCTTTCATTCATGTCTGCAACAGGATAAATGTAACCCAAGGACTACGTGAAATAGGTCTGGCTATTTTAAGGGAAATACCCTTCAGAGTGGTTGTTTATTCTAAACGTAGGGCAAAAATTCACAATGGTTCAGTTGATCTTAGGTCACTGCTGTGGTCTGTATGGTTTTCGTCCCCTCAAAATGCACATGTTGGAATCCTAACACCAATGTGATGGGGTTAGAAGGGAGAGACTCTCACAGGTGATTCTGTCACAAGGGTGGTGCTACCTCATGAACGGGATTTATAAAATCCCATTCTTATAAAAGAGGCCTCACAGAGCTCCCTAAGTCCTGCCACAAGGTGAGGACACAGTGAGAGGTCAGCAGAGTACAACGGGGAAGAGAGCTCTTCACCTGACCGTGTTGGCACCCTGATCTCCTACTTCCAGCAGCCAGAACTGGGAGAAATAAATTTCTGTCGTTCATGAGCCCCTCGAGTTGATGACATTTTGTTACAGCAGCCCGAATGGACTGAGACAGTCGCCTGAGTATTGTAAGCTCTACAATGAGATCAACATGCCTCAAAATTCCTGTAGCATTTCACAACTTACTGTAATAATCAGAAAGTTCCTCCCCCAGGAATTGTACTGACCATTTGCGAAACTGCATCTGGAAATCATGGGCCAGCAAATGTCCAGAAACTGAAGTCATTATCATGGTAACATTCTGAATAATAACAAAATTCACATTAGTCTTCTAGAAATTATATTTTGCCAGATCATCCAAATAAAAGGGAGAAACTTCTATTAAGGAAAAAAAAAGGGGGTTGCCAGGGGCTTGGGGGGAGGTGGGGAGGAATGAACAGATGGAACACAGAGGACTTTAGCGACAGTGGGAATACTCCGCATGGTGTTAGAATGATGGATGCATGTTATACTTTTGTCCAAACCCATAGAACATACAATACCAAGAGGTAACCCTAATGTAAAGTATGGACTTTGGCTGCTTATGATGTGCCAGTGTAGGCTCGATTGTACAAATATATCACTCTGGTGAGTGATGTTGATCATGGGGTGGGGGTGGGGGTGGGCGGTGTGTATATGTGTGTTGGGGGGGCAGGGGTTCTATAGGAAATCTCTCTACCACCCTCTCAATTTTGCTCTAAAAACCGAAAATGGCTCTAAAAAAAAAGTCTGTAAAAAAATAAAACCAAACCTAGTTGATCAGGAAGAAATGAACATAAATATGTCTCCTTGAAGCCAAATGCCACAGTAATACAATCACCTTTCTGATTCTAGCACCATGATGCCTTTGATGGGATTTAAAGTTTCCTCAAACTCTTATGTATTTGCTTCTTTCTTGTTATAAAGAGATGGGACCACATTTAATTAAAAAGTGACTTCCTGGGTGCCTGGGTGGCTCAGTTGGTTAAACGACTGCCTTCGGCTCAGGTCATGATCCTGGAGTCCCAGGATCGAGTCCCGCATCGGGCTCCCTGCTCAGCGGGGGGTCTGCTTCCCCCTCTGCCCTCTTCCCTCTCGTGCTCTCTGTCTCTCATTCTCTCTCTCTCAAATAAATAAATAAAATCTTAAAAAAAAAAAAAAAAAAAAAACCTTTAAAAAAAAAAAAGTGACTTCCTTATAAATGATAAAATGGTTGCCTGTCATCAGGGATCTTTAGGTCTTAACAATCGTTATTCTTAAAAGATTGTGACTTATTCTACAGTGGCCAGGCTCATTCTTCTCGATCGAATAACTCAAGATGCAAGGAGTTTAGGGACGACCTCTAGTAAACAGCTGCTCTTTTTATAGCCATAACGAAAAACTCCAGGAACATACCCCAAAATGGCCCACAGATCTAAAAGACACCTACCTGGCCATATAGATGATAATCAAATTCATAGATCTTGTTGAATTTTGAAAATCCTTCCCTCTGTAACAAAACAAAAATACAATTGATCGATTACGTTGAAAACAAAGGATTCCTCAGCCTAAAGATGAAGCAGAACACTGGTAAGCGATAATACTGAAAAGTAACAGTATTTCCTAAAGACAAAAACTAGGCTATATTACTAAGACCATTTATCAAGTGGCTCCTCGAAATAGTTACAAGCACATAATTGGTAGAGTCCATGGAGTTTTTATGCTGGAAGGTAACCTTGAGGTCGGCTAATATAACATCTTTTCATGGATGAGAATGGATGTGTCCAAGGTCACGTCACAAATTAAAGGCAGAAGAAGGATTAGGACATAATTCTCTTGACAATTTTCTCCTTCTTCCCCATATACTTTTACTACTTTCTGGCTGTACAATTGTACCTGTCAACTGTGAACACAGGCAAGTCGTTCACTTTTCTGAACATCAATTTATTTTTGAATAAATTTACCTCTGGGTTCTCCCCTGGCTCTAAAATCCAGTAACACTATGAGCCCTAGTCAGAACTGGAACCCAGTCTATAAAGCAATTCCTTAGCTTGTAATCATGGATGAATAAGACCCTCTCTGAGTAGGTCCCACTTTTCTCCATAGGGACATTAAATGTAGTTACACATGTGAGTTTTGCACCAACACTACACAGAAGACAAGAAAAGGGCCAACTGGGAACTGGAGAAATGTTCAAGGGCCAAGAGAAGGGTCAGTGTTGAGAAGAGTCTTCCTCCGTCTCACAAAGACAATTTTTCTGAGTGGAATAGTAAATGAGGTTATCTTTGAGGCATATGGATGATTTTTTTAAAAAAAAGATTTTATTTGAGAGAGAACAAATGAGCAGGGGAAGGGGCACAGGGAGAGAGAATCCTCAAGCAGACTCCCCACTGAGCACAGAGCCAGACACAGGGCTCGATCCGAGGACCCCGAGATCACCACCCGAGCTGAAGACAGACGCCCAGCTGACCCAGGCGCCCCCATAATGACAAATTTTAAGAGGGATTTTATTTTAGTATCTGATACTTAAGAGTTCACTGGTTGCCAATGTTGCCAAGAAAAGAATTCCTCTGTACAAACTCCACTTGCTAGTTAAGCCCTTCTAGTAATAGAGAATAGAAACTGTCTAATCAGTAGTTTCTGACTTTTTTTTATGAGAAGCAGTGTCAGCAACTTTTTTTTCGAGAAAATGGTTTCTGACTTTTTAAGAAAGCTCTGAAGCCCTCCCAAACAAACACTAATATGGACCCTGATATATAACAAGGCTGAAGTCGGCTTACTCAACCTCTCCCCAGCCCAGCCCCAAGTGACTCCTGAGGTGCACATTCACTGTCCCTTGGGTCTCTTGGGAACGCAGTCTGAAAACCACTGTTTTAGATATACGTTTCAAGATAAATAACTTGTCTGATAACATGCGTGTGACCCCACAACAGGGCTCTTCCAGGTGGTCTCCTCTGCCAGTGGTAGCCTCGAGGATGTGAAATGTTTTTCCTGACATTTCAAACTTGCCCCCCTACAAGTCCCATCTGAGGATGGCGCACAATTATGTACGATTCCCCATTTGCGTGAGGTGCTCAGGGAAAGTGGATGCTCCCAAATTACAGTAGTTCTGGAGTCTGGGAAAGAAAAACAAAAACAAAAACAAAACAACCTGGTAGACCAAGAATGTAGCTTTTGTGATCTCTTTTGCAGTGTTGTCCACTCTATTAAAAAAACAAACAAAACAAGTTCCTTCTCTAAGCACTCTGTAGGAACTGTCACACGGCTGCTGCTAATGTATAGCAGGAGTCATTAAGATTTCTCTTTCCGAATATAAAAAATAAAACCATGAAAAAGCTGTACACATGTAGAAGGTTGTAGTTTTCAATGTGCTTCTGAATGCTATTGTAAATGGAACAGTTCTCTTAATTTTCTTTCCGATTGTTCATTGCTACTAATTTGTGTGCGTTGATCTTGTATCCTGCAACTTTGCCGAATTTATTAGCACTAATGGTCTTTTGTGATTTCTTTAGGATTTCTATTCTATAAGATCATGTTGTCTGCAAACAGACATATTTTTTTTAAGATTTTAGCTATTTGAGAGAAAGAGAGAGCACGTGAGAAGGGAGGAGGGGCAGTGGGGAAGGGACAAGCAGACGCCCTGTGGAGCAGAGAGCCGATGTGGGACACCATCCCAGGACCGTGGCGTCATGACCTGGGCTGAAGGCAGATGCTTAACCGACTGAGCCACCCAGGCGTCCCGCAGATAGACATATTTTTAATTCTTTCCAATTTAGATTTATTTTTCTTGCCTAATTCCTTTAGCTAGAACTTCTAGTAATTTGGGATAGCAATGGGGAAAATAGGCAATCTTGTCTCGTTCCTGATCTCAGAGGGCAAGCTTTCAGTCTTTCACCCTCCAGCTAAAGTTAGTAATGGGATTTTCAAAAATGCCTTTTATCATGAAGGGGATTAAATTTTTATCAATTTCGTTTTCTGCATCAATTGAGATAAACAATGTAGGTTTTTTTTTTTTTAATTTTATTTATTTATTTGACAGAGAGAGAAACAGCGAGAGAAGGAACACAAGCAGGGGGAGCGGGAGAGGGAGAAGCAGGCTTCCCGCGGAGCAGGGAGCCCGATGCGGAGCTCGATCCCAGGACCCTGGGATCATGACCTGAGCCGAAGGCAGACGCTTAACGACTGAGCCACCCAGGCGCCCCAACAATGTAGGTTTTAAGTGGGGGATTACTGGGGTCATATCTGTGTTTTATAAAGTCACTTTGGCAATGGAGAATTTCAAGAGTGAAAGGCTAGGGAGAAAGCTACTGGAGTTTTCCATGTGAGGGGTCAGAGGCCTGCACTCTACAACACATCAGCTCTTGCTCCCACTATCCAGGAGCTAGAAATGGAGGTCTAAGGATCTTGGGAATCTTTAAAGAAAAAAGGGCAGGGAACTTCTTCCCCATACTCTTAGAAATGGCCTCCAGAAAACCATTTCACGATCCACTTCAATTAAAAAAAAAAATTTTTTTTAAATTTTATTTATTTATTTGACAGAGAAAGACACAGCGAGAGAGGGAACACAAACGGGGAGTGGGAGAGGGAGAAGCAGACTCCCCGCCGAGCAGGGAGCCCGATGCGGGACTCGATCCCGGGACTCCAGGATCATGACCTGAGCCGAAGGCAGTCGCTTAACCAACTGAGCCACCCAGGCGCCCGATCCACTTCAATTTGACAGATTTTCCTGAACAGTTCTTGCCGCCTCCGCGCCAACTCTTATACAAAATCTTTTACCTTCCCCTTCCTTTGCACCTCCAGTGTGTCTAGGACACATTCTCATCCCTTACTTGCCTGTTTCTTGGAGTTTGTACCAGTAGGAATAGGGCTGATGTTCGCTCTAATCCCAAACCCTAGGCAGTTCTGCCCCATCAATATGCGTTCACAGACTGCAAAGTCAGTGCAGCTGCAGAACGCGGGGGATGCGACAGAGACGGGGAGACCTTGTTAGCTGGGAATGCTCGGACAGAGCCTGACTACCAACTGAAAGGACTTTGGTCAGTGGTTCCCAACAAATGAGTTTCCGAATCACAGGGACTAATGTTAAAATAAAGACTTCTCTGATCTCACCCCAGACCCACAGAATAGCCGGTGCCCCAGCTGGTTCCGATCATCAGACAAGTTTGCGAACCGCTGCTGTGGACGAGGAGGAGCCAAGGTTTTCAAGAACACGGATGAAACGTCTCACTATACTTTTGCATGCCTATCTTTCGGAAAAGACAGGAAGCCAATGCAATGACCCAGAAGCGAGAGAAGTGGCCTCCGTGTGTATTCCCAGCGCGCGCCTCGCCGTCCCGCTGGGGGATCGGGACAGCTCCCTCACCCGCACAGCTGATCGGAAATACGCCTCCTTACCCGCCTCATGCGACCGTTGGACAGCAGGTCGGCGATCCCCTTGGCCGCGTCGTTTTTCTCGGCCACACAGAGAATTTTCCGCACGCCTCGGAAGGCCACCTCCATGGCAGCGCGGGACAAGGTGCGGGCTCCCGGCCGTTTCAGCCAGCGGAGCGCGCAGCGGGCGACCGGGAAGATCATCCCTAGGCCCCGCGCCCGCAGCCGCCCCCCGGGTGCCCACGCATGCTGGAGAAGCCAGAGGTGAGGTCCACCTGGCCCCCGTCCTAAGGGAACTGGGGCCTCCGGGAGCCGCCAGCGCCACCTTCTGCGGCCCGTCACCTCCCCTCAGCCCGCCGGGCTTTGCACCCGCTGCCTCTGCCGGGAATCCCGCACCGCAGGCGTCCCGCTTCCGCCCGCCTTCTCGGGCTACATCCGCCCCGCCCGAGCGCCACATGACCGCGAACTACAACTCCCAGACTGCCCCGCGCTCCTGGACCCCTAGCACATTTCCGCTCCTCCGCCCCACTTCCTTCGCTTCCCGACAGTGGTTGGTAAGTCGATTCGTCCTTGGGAGAGGCCGCTGGACAGTTCTGCCCAAACCTGTCGCTAGCTCACAAATCTTCTGTCCCGCTCGGAAGTCTACGCGGACGCTTCCGGGTCACGCGGCGCAGACACCAAGAGTCATGTGACACCAAGATGGCGGCGCCGCGGTAGCTGGCTACGGGTTGTGGCGTCCGAGGAGCCGCGACGGTTTCTGTCCTCGGGCCGTGGGGGCGGCAACGCTTGACTGGCCCCTGCGGCGGCCCGTAGCCCCGCGTTAGGCACCGGTTCAGGGCTTGGCTGTTGCTGTCGCGGTGGGTTCGGGGGAGTGCCGGTGACCTCGCTGCAGGTGTCCTGCGCCGGACGCTCTCGCCGGAGGAGGAGGAGGAGGAGGAGGAGGAGGAGGAGGAGGAGGAAGAGGAGGACAACCGGCCTGCCGGGTCTTCTGGACCTGCGGCGTCCATGGGCTTCTGAGGGCTCTGGAGGAGCTATAGCTCTGAGGGGACTGTGGGAGTTCGAGTCTTCGAGAGTGTGAGGGGCAGCCTAGTACCCCTGAGGGCGCAAAGAAGACCGCGGGGACTTTGCTTCCTCTTCCAGAGGCCTTGCTTCCCTGCGTTGATTACCCCCTCATTCTTTCTCACTTCCTCTCAATGTTCTCTCCATATATCTGGAAATATGATCAGCGCCCCTGACGTGGTGGCCTTCACCAAAGAGGAGGAGTACGAGGAGGAGCCTTACAATGAGCCCGCCTTGCCCGAGGAGTACTCGGTGCCACTCTTCCCCTTCGCCAGCCAGGGAGCCAACCCATGGTCCAAACTGTCCGGGGCCAAGTTCTCTCGGGACTTCATCCTTATTTCCGAGTTCTCCGAGCAGGTGGGACCCCAACCCTTGTTGACCATCCCCAATGACACCAAAGTTTTTGGTACTTTCGATCTCAATTACTTCTCCTTGCGGATCATGTCTGTGGATTACCAGGCCTCCTTTGTGGGCCATCCGCCTGGTTCTGCCTACCCCAAGCTGAACTTTGTGGAGGACTCCAAGGTGGTGCTGGGAGACTCCAAGGAGGGAGCCTTTGCGTATGTGCACCACCTTACCCTGTACGACCTGGAGGCCCGGGGCTTTGTGAGGCCCTTTTGCATGGCTTATATCTCAGCGGACCAGCACAAAATCATGCAGCAGTTTCAGGAGCTCTCAGCTGAATTTTCCAAAGCTTCCGAGTGCTTGAAGACAGGCAACAGGAAGGCATTTGCGGGAGAACTTGAAAAAAAACTGAAAGACTTGGATTACACCAGGACAGTGCTGCACACGGAAACGGAGATCCAGAAGAAGGCCAATGACAAAGGCTTTTACTCATCTCAGGCAATTGAGAAAGCCAATGAACTGGCTAGTGTAGAGAAGTCCATCATTGAACATCAAGACCTGCTGAAGCAGATCCGCTCGTACCCTCATCGGAAGTTGAAGGGGTCTCCTTTGTGTTCTGGGGAGACGGAGCACACCCAGGATCAGGCCAGCCAGGCAGCCACTACCTCTAACCCTGATGAGTCTGCTGACACAGACCTTTACACCTGCAGACCTGCTTATACCCCGAAACTCATCAAAGCAAAGTCCACCAAGTGTTTTGACAAGAAGTTGAAGACCTTGGAAGAGCTCTGTGACACTGAGTATTTCACCCAGACCCTGGCTCAGCTCAGCCACATAGAGCACATGTTCAGAGGAGACCTGTGCTACCTCCTGACCAGCCAGATTGACAGAGCACTTCTAAAACAACAGCATATAACAAACTTCCTCTTTGAAGATTTTGTGGAGGTCGACAACAGGGTGGCAGAGAAACAAGAGAGCGCACCCCCTAGGCCCGTTCCAGGCAGGCCGCCTTCTAGGTCTCTGGAAGAATGTCCGATTCCTCAAGTGTTAGTTAGCGTTGGTTCCTACAAGTCCAGTGTGGAGTCTGTGCCGATCAAGATGGAGCAGGAACTTGGAGATGAGGAGTACAGGGAAGCGGAGGTGACAGAATCGAGCAGTTTTGACCCCCAGGAAAACTTGGACTACCTGGATATGGATATGAAAGGGAGCATCAGCAGTGGCGAAAGCATCGAGGTTCTGGGCACGGAGAAGTCCACTGCTGTGCTGCCTAAGTCTGACAGCCAGGCCAGCCTCACGGTGCCATTGAGCCCCCAGGTGGTCCGGAGCAAAGCGGTCAGCCACAGGACCATCAGCGAGGACAGTATTGAAGTCCTCAGCACCTGCCCCTCGGAGGCCCTCATCCCTGATGATTTTAAGGCCAGCTACCCAAGTGCCATTAACGAAGAAGAATCATACGCAGATGATAGCGAGGGAGCCATCCACTTCCAGGCAAGCGTCAGCCCGCCAGAGCTGGGTGAAGCAGAGGAGGGCAGCCTAGAAACCCCCCCGTCACAAATAGACTCCTCCTGCTGCATTGGGAAGGAGAGTGACAGTCTGCGGGTGCCCCTCTCCCCTCCAGCCCACACCCCCTCGGAGCAGGACGGAGTAGTGAGCATCCCTCCGCAGCGCTACAGGCAGAAGGACCAGGGGTTCCGTGTGGACTTTGCCGTGGAAAATGCCAGTCCTTCCCGAGACAACAGTTCCGAAGGCTTCCCTGCTGATGAGCTGGATCCAAACCGCCTGCTGGCGAGCCGGGATGTCAGTAAGACCAGCCTGGACAACTACTCGGACACTACCAGCAACATGAGCAGTGTAGCCTCCACCAGCTCAGACAGGACTCCCTCTTCTGCTCACCCCACCGGCCCCTCTTCCGAGAGGCATAAAAAGAGGGCTGGCCAGAACGCCTTAAAATTCATCCGTCAGTACCCCTTTGCCCACCCGGCCATCTACTCCTTGCTCAGTGGGAGGACACTTGTGGTCCTAGGGGAGGATGAGGCCGTAGTGAGGAAGCTGGTGACAGCGCTGTCCATCTTTGTCCCCAGCCACAGCCATTTCGCCAAGCCGGTGAAGCACTGGGTCTCCTCTCCTTTGCATATCACGGATTTTCAGAAGTGGAAGCTTATCGGCCTGCAGAGGTAACTGGTTACCCGCGGTGGGGAAGGGCCCCATCCCGTTAGAGACGAGGCTTCAGACGTACATCCCTCTGGGGGAGGTGCACAAGGTCGCGAGGTGGGCCCGGAATTGGGCGACCTGGCTTCCACACTGGGCCCTCAACACTAACCAGCTTACTCTGTAACTTTTGGCAGATCATTCCCTTTCTCTGGCCTTCTGTTTCCTCGTCCCTCGCATGAGGGTTGCCGTTCTGAGGTGGTTTCCAACCCTGGTCTGCGATCTGCCGTGTCAGAATTATTTAGGAGAGTTTTTTTTAGATCATGGAGTTCCGGGTCCCACCCCCCAGAGATTCTGGTTCACTTGGTCTGGGGTGACACCTGGAGTTTATCTGGTGTCCAGCAAGGTTTGGGGAACAACCGAACTTGGAGATCCCAGGTTCTCGCTGATTCTCAAATTCACACTATGGTGTAAATGACTGAAGAGACATCGCCTTCTGAGAAAGGGCCGTGGTAGTCTCAGAAGGTGGCAGCCATCACTGGTGACAGGGACATCAGGGGCTCCAGTGGCTTTCACTCCACTGTCCTATTTGCCTTAGGAGGCTGTGTTTTTTTCCCCTAGAAGTCTGTGTTCATAAGGAAACGGAAGAGCCAGTTCCTCCTTTCTCTGTTTGATTGCTTTCTATCTCATTTTCCCACAATACTTGTGTTGCAGTAGACTCCTTTTCTTTTTTCCAAATACTGCTTGGCAAGTTGTCGGGCCCAAGGGTCTCTTTCCCTCGGGGTACGCACGGGGTTCAGCTTCCTCGTTTCCTTCTCTGCACCCCGCTTGGCACATCTGTAAAACAGAGATGCTGACACAGCCAGTCTGTGCTTCCCGTGCCGCATGGGAAGAGAGAACACTGCAATCAGGAACTGTTCGTTCCAATTTTCCGACTCTCCTTTTGCATCAGTCCCTAGTATCAGTGAGGTCCCCGCCACCCGAGTCGCCTGGCGTTTGCCCCTCTTGGAGAAGTCACGCGGCCCTCGCTCTAACCCTTGCTGCGTGTTCAAACTAAACAATAAATTAAAAGGGTAAAAAGGCTTTCCTCGGGGTCGTGGTGGTGGCATTTAAGCAAGTGGCGCCTCCACGGCCTGCCTCGGCTCACTGGCCATGCTGGTGGGTGCTGGGGTGCCATCTGCAGGTGCCTGGGCAAGGCCACTGCCTTGGAAGAATTCATAGTTGAGGAGGGGAGACAGATGTCAGGGAGGAGAGTGTCAACAGCGGGTGCTTCGTGCGTTCTAAGAAAACAAAGGGGGGGCGACTGAGTGACGGGTGGGAAGCGAGGGAGAGGGGCGCCTGGGGAAGGCTTGGGGTCTTTGGCTGAAGGCACCAGGAGGGCGAGCTTGCCAGTGTGGGGGAAGAGTGATGACATGGGGACTTGGTGTGACGTGGCCCAGACCCCTGGACCAGCCCCTTCCTCGGGCTGCACAGGAGACCACCGAGTGGAGTCCTTGCTTATGGCTGCAGAACCAGGCTCAGGAGTGAGAGGCTGCACTGGGCGCCCTTGCGGACTTTGTCCTTCCTCCCGGGATCCGGTCCCTCTGCTGATGCCAGCTCTGTGCTCGGGTGTAACCCGTCAGTCCCAGCAAGGCAAGGGCTTTTCAGAGATTGCTTTTGCCCCTGATCTTGGTGGAAGAATGGGTCCGTGCCCCTTGCAGACACATACCTCTTCTCCGAGTCACTCCCCTCGCCCCAACCCTTGACCTTTTCCCCTTTTTCTCCCTCAAAGATGGAAAATCTAAAACGCACATCAGTCTGTTGTCAGCTGGCTTATCCAGGACCAGGCTCAGGACAGTCTTGCCCTTCCCAAAGGTTTTCCCCAAATCCCCTCCTTAGAATGTGCCAGGATGGCAAAAGAAGTTCATCTCTTACGCCAGCTCTGTCCCGTTGGGTACGTGGCTGGAGGGCTGCGTTGAGGATTCTGAGGCCTGGGCGGGGCTGCCTTGGGCAGCCTGCTGTGATCAGCTCATGGAGTCTGGCTGCAAGAGAGGGTAGCTGGGGGCGCCTGGGTGGCTCAGATGGTTAAGCGTCTGCCTTCAGCTCAGGTCATGATCCCAGGGTCCTGGGATCGAGTCCAGCATCGGGCTCCCTGCTCCTTGGGAGCCTGCTTCTCCCTCTGTTTCTCTCTCTCTCTCTATCATGAATAAATAAATAAAAAATCTTTAAAAAAAAAAATTAAAGAGAGGGTAGCTGGTGGGCGGGCTCCCTGAAGTGGAGGAGTGAGGTGGTCTGAGTCCCTGGCCGGCCCTACCAGTATTCATCCACCGTGGGCACCTGAGCAAGTCGCTCCTCCACTCGAGGCTTTGTTCCCTCCTGAGAAAATGAGAGGGTTGGATCCCTGAATGATCATTTGCCAAATATTTACAGAGGACTGTGAAGTGCTAGCCACTCGGCCCACTGCCAGAGTCATAAGGCGAGTCAGCCGTGGTGCGTCCCCGTGACAGGGCAAGCACGGTCTTCAAGGGGGGGGGTCCCTCACGCCAGTCCCAGCTCTGTCACCACACTGTCAGCTTGACCTCTGAGGCTGTTCGCATCTGCAGATGGGGTTGCCAAGACCTGTCTCGTGAGAGTGGGTGTGAAAAGGCCCATTGCATCTGGTCTGTGTCTGATCAGCTTGAGTGCGTCTCTGGTAACCTAGGGGGACGCATACACCGTCGAGGGAGGCAGGCCGAGGCAGCAGACGCTGAGTGCGGCCCTCACCAGCCCGGCTTTGGAGCCTTTAAGCATCTCTCTGTGAAGGCGAGAGGCCCGTCAGAAGTGACAGACGAGAGCATCGCAAACAGCCCCGAGTGGGGAAGTGTCTCCTGTTGCTCACGTTCTCAGACCCTCTGGGCGTGCACAGATGTTGGGTATTAGCAAGGTCTGCCTCCAGAGGTCCTGCTCTGGTGTGAGATACAGTGGGTGGGGGCTGGAGGCCTTGTTCCCTAGGGGCCGTGTCACCGCAGCGGGGACTGGATTTGCCGCAGCTCTCCCAAGGAAATCCTGGGAGGTGAGCAGCAGACACCATCTGAACGTGTCCTGAGATGAAGAGCCGTGGAGTCGTGGCCTGGGGTGGGTAGGGAGGGGCGCTGTGGGTGCTGTGACCTCAGGTCCTGATGCTTCCACTGTCGGCCGTGTGGATTTGGACCAGGCCTCTCCTCTCATTCATTCAGCAAGGCTTGTTGCACACGCCTGTGAGCGGGCTTCTGGGGCTGTGTGGAGCTGCAGGAAAGGGTCACATCTAGAAAGAACGTAACGCCCTGTGCTCGCCCTTTGAAGTGCTCAGAGCTGTGGGTATCACTGGTGAGTCATCCCAGCAGGCAGAGCCAGTGTTGAAACTGGGAGGCAGGAGGAGGCCCATCTGAGGATCAGCATTAAAGAGTAGTAGTAGAAGAGGGGCCTTTGTGTGGCCGTGAACTTCCTTGCCCGGGGGGAGCTCCGCTCTAGAGGGGGTTGAGTCCGTGTGCTGGGTTAATCTGGAATCAGAACTGTGACCCAGGAGAGTCTCTCCCCAGTCAGGTGCTTCGACTCCAGCTAAAACCAGCTGAGATGATGAACTGTTTGAAGACTCCCACCCCCACAACTGCCAGTTTCATTAGCCCTTGATTTTTTTCCCCCTAAAGTAGGCCTTCTGCCTGGAGATGCTCGTGAGTTGGATCCATCACTTATGGGTATGAGATGGGCAGATAATCATGTTGGTTTCCCATTATTTTAAATCAAAATGAAGGATAAGTGTATTGCTACCAAGTCTCAGGAACAAGCCCCGGACAGAGCTCAGTACCGATGGGAAGAAGTGCTAGTTGCGGGGGGGGGGGGGGGGGGTCAGAGGCCTTGGTTGAGTCCCGGCTCAACCACTTAGCTGGCGGACCTTGCGTGAGCCACGGCCCCGCTCTGGGCCTCAGTGTTCGTGTCCGCCCCACAGCCTACCCCCGGCCTTGGGATGGACCGTAAGGAATCTGAGACAGGTGTGGGAGGTGAAGCGTGAGGCTGTCAGTGCCGCCGAGGGCCAGAGGTGTGGGCTCGCCTCTTTCCATGCTGCCTCGCCCCCTGGTGAGGAGCGTTGTGGGGAAACACGTGGAGGAAGAGTTAGACGGAGCGGCATCTTCTGAAGAAGCGGTGCTCTGTAGGTGAGGGTAGGTGTGGGGTGCCAGAGCTCCCCGGGAATGGCCGGGCCTGAGGCAAGGTGTTCAGCACGACCGGTGGCTGGAGTGGAGCGGCAGGAGGACGGGGTGAGGCCTGGCTTTGCTGCCGCGCAGAACCTCGGGGGGCTGGATGTGCCCAGCTCGAGGGGGCCTTTGGCTCATGGACTGGGCCCCTCCTGGGGTGGGGCTTGTGGGGCAAGGGTGCCTCGGGAGCTGCCTGAGCACATTGGTAGTGTGACTGAGGAGGCCCGTGTCCCCGCGAAGCCAGTGAGCCGCCTGTAGGTCCTGCTTCCTCATTGCCCACGTGGTGGGGGCCACAGCCCACTGCTTGCCTCACGGTCTTCAAGACACGCGGCCCATGTGGCTGTTTCCTTATCTCTGTGACCCTGCTCTTGTGAGTCCCAGGTTCTCGGAGCCCACCTTTGTTGTAAGGTCCAGCTCCGAGGCTGTTCCTCCAGAACCTTCCTGGCCCCGGGCCTCCCCCTTTCACTCCAGGTCCTGTGTGCATGTCTTTTCTTCCCAGCTGACCAGGCTCGTGCCTCACTCCCTCTTCCGCCCCCAGCTCACTGCCTGGCATATAGTAGATGCTGCTAACTGTACAAGGACATGACACCACCCAGGAAGGAAAAAACATAACGAGATTGCCTTAGTCCCCCAAGTGCCTGTCAGCCCTCTGTACACAATACCTGAGGCCTAACCCAAGCTCTCAATTCCAGACGTGTGTCAGTCCGTGAAATCTCTGGTCAGCTAGACCTTTGCCAGACTGCAAGGCTGGCGGACTCTGGCTGCTCTGGGAAGACCGATCTAGAGGGTTTTAAGGCGCTGCTTACTAGGGCGGGTCACCCTGACCCCTTCCCTCGTTGAGCAAGCCCTCCGCTTGCCTCTGCTCCACGGGTGCCATCGTGGGCAGTGGGCCAGGAGGCCAGATCAGCTAGTGCCGGGCCCGCAGGAGCTCCGTGCGCTGGGAGAGACGGGGCATAGATGGCCGGCACAGCCCTGCTCGGTGCCAGGCTGATGGGACTGAGGCCCAGGCACTGTCCTAAACACGACCAGTTTGGTCTCTGCAGTGACCACCTGAGGCAGGACCGGTTATCTCTGTCGGACAGAAGGGGCTCAGAAGGCTTAGGGCACTTGGCCGGGGTCACAAAGCAAAACAGTAGAGATGCAGAGGAGGGGATCACGGGCGGCCGGTAAGGTTTGAGTTGGCATAGAAGCGAGTACAAATGGAAGGGAGGGGTGTCCCGGGCAGAGCACTGAGGTCCGTGATTGTGAGGCCCTACCGAAAGCGTGGATGGCTGCGAGGAAGTCACCGTGGCCGTAACAGGCAGGAAGTGGGTCACGCAGGGCCTGTGGGCCACGCCCAGGCACTTGAACTTGGTCACGAGGGTGGTGAGGAGCCCTTTGAAGAGCATCATGATCAGACTTGCCGCCCGGAAAGAGCCAGTGAGCGTTGGCTGGCGGGAGCCGGCCCCGGAGACGGGCGGCCCCGCGCAAGCCGCCCCCCTGACGCTGGCCTGTGTGTTTCAGGGTGGCGCCCCCCGCCGGCGCCGGCACGCTGCACACCCTGGGCCGCTACAGCCGCTACACGAGCGTCCTGGACCTGGACAGCAAAGCGCTCCGCTGCCCCCTCTACAGGGGCGCCCTGGTGCCCCGGCTGGCCGACCACCGCACTCAGATCAAGCGGGGCAGCACCTACTACCTGCACGTCCAGAGCACGCTCACGCAGCTCTGCTCCAAGGCCTTCCTCTACGCCTTCTGCCACCACCTGCACCTGCCCGCGCACGACAAGGAGACCCGGGAGGTGGTTGCCGGCCGCCAGGCGAGCTTCCTGAAGCTGAACCTGGGCCTGGTGAACGAAGATGTGAAGGTGGTCCAGTACCTGGCCGAGCTGCTGAAGCTGCACTACACGCAGGAGGCTCCCGGGACCAGCCAGCCCACACTCAGGTTCGACTACGTCCCCAGCTTCTTGTACAAGATCTGAGGTCCGCCCCAGCCACTGTGACCGAGACCTGTGACTCAGGGTACGGGGAGGGGAGGGGTTGGCGTGAGCGAGGGGTCCTCTGAGCTGTTGAGACTTCAGGTGTCATCGGGCGAGGGAACCCGAGGTGGCAGCCCTGGTTCCCGGGTGGCGTCCGGCGGTCTGGGAGGCGGGCTCGGGCAGAAGCGGGCGCCTGGCTCTCCGCTGGCGTCAATAAGGACAGTGACAGGCTGCTCCGCCAGGTGAGGAGTGGCCCCTGGGGACGGGAGGGGGCCGCTTGGCTTCCTGAGGACTGGGAGGTGGGCTGGGAGGCGGGCTGGGAGAGAGCCAGCACTCTCTCGATGGAGCGGGACGAGGGCAGAGAGGTGAAGCCCGGACGGGAGGGGCACGCTGGCACGGTCAGCTCCCAAACACTGGGGCGGCGAGATCAAGGGAAGCACCGCATTCACTGGCACGGTTTAGCGGGAAACAGGCCGACAGAACGTCCATTGCCTCATTCAGATCCCAGCTGGGGTCCTTCACTCGGGCCCCCTAGAGCCTGTCATCCCTGAGGAGGCCCCCAAATGAGTGAGGTGGAGGGAGGCAGCTCTGCCTACGCTGGGTGGTGGCAGACATGGGAACTTCTGGGCCCTGGGGCTGCAGGGAGAGCGAGCAGCACCCTGTCTGGTCCTGGCTTCCTCACCAGGCACGGAAGTGCCTGTGGGTGGGCTTTGCAGCTGCACCCCCCGGGGCGGCAGGATGGGCTCGAGTTAGGCGCTCGTCCCTGCTCGTGAGTGAGAACCACTCTCGCAGCTAGAGGGCCCGGGAGACGGGCAGGGCCGCTGGGCCACGAGGCCGTCAGCACAGTGCAAGGGATGAGGAGCCAGCAGGCCTCCGGGGCGCAGCCCGCCAGCCTTTCTGGCGCAGTGAGTCTACACTGTGCTTTCGGGGAAGGTCGGCAGGCACGCTGGGACTTGGCCAAGGTCACCCCCCTCCCCCCCCCCATCCTCCACCCGCAGCAAACCTTTGCAACCACTTCACTACCTCTTGCAGGGTCTCGTGGGCACGGCGACAGCGGGGTTCTGCTCAGCTGCGTGGTCTGGGGGGGCAGCCCAGCTAGCGAGAACCCAGGGCCAGGGTCTCCTCCAGGAAGGAGGAAAGCCTCGTGTGGCTGTCTTCGTGGATCTGCCCCACGTGGGCCTCACCCCTGCTCACTCCTGCCCGCACGCCGTGCCCTCAAATACATGCACCTCACCGCTGTCCACTCCCACCCCACGCGGGCCCCCCACATATGGTCGCCTCACCAGCGCTCACTCCTGCCCCACGCAGGTCCCCCAGGTCCACTCACCTCCCGGCAGCTCACTCCCAGCCCCACGTAAGTCCTCCCTTCGGGGAAGGACACAATCCCTGCCTCACCCGCCGTGACCTCCCCAACGCTCCTTCCAGTTGCCGTTGGTTTGTACGCGGAGGGTTTCTTGCAACCTTGAAATTTTTATACTTTTTTTTTTTCTTTTTTATGGCTGCTTTTTTCCTCCAAGTAGGGAGAACTCTTAGTATGACCGCTTTTTAACGTGTCCGGGACAGTTGTCCTGCAGCAGACCTGGCCCAGCCACGACGCGGTTGCTCCTGAGCATTCGCGTGCGCGTCTCTGGGCACCGCGTACTCTGTAGTTGGGGTCTCGCCGTCGAGACCTGCCTACCTGCCGGCTCTGTGGCGCACCGTGGAGGTCACGCTGGGGAGGCAGGACCCCGAGGGGCGTTAGCGTCCCGTCACTCCTGCCGCCCTTTCCTGGCCCGGCTCCTCTTCACGCACGCGGCTACAGCCCTTGGGCCCGTGGCCATCGGCTTCTGGTCAGGGCCCACGGCCCTGGCAGAGGGGGTGTGATTTTGCTTCTGAGCCTGTGACTGAGAGAGAACCTTCTGCGGCAGATGGTCTGTCTACACGCCACGGGTTTTCTTTGTACCTGTGCCCATTGCATACGTTCACACACAGAAGAGTCGCCAGGGACGGCTTGGCAGCTTCGAGATGCGAGGTGTGTGTTTGCACGTGGGGAAGGCTGCGTAGGAAGCCTGTTTCTCTCCGCGGGCTGCCCCCCTTCGTTGCTGCCTCCAGTGTCCCCCGTGTTCAAGATGCCGCTCTGCTAACTGGGTGGCCCGCTGCCGTCTGCTTACGCCTCTGGGGATGTGACCTTACAGCATTTTATCTCCAAGGCGGGAGAGGTCTCTGGGGTCCAGATGACAAGACTGAAAGTGATCATCGGCACCACTGTTGCTTTTCATTCCTGTTTCACACCGTTGTGGATTCTATACAGTTTAACCGTACTGTCACCTGGGAAACTGATCAAGGCAGAAGGTCAGGCATGTGGGGCCTTCTAGAAGCTAAAGCCGTCGCTACCACGGTCTGAAGTAGATGTCACTTTGGAGGGGGTTTGCGTGGAAGCTCTGTCTCAGGGATGGTTCCGGAGGCCCCAGGATTCTGAGGCGAGGGATCAGGCGGGTGTGAACAGAACAGGTATGTCCCATCCTGGGGCCGGCCTCAGAAAGAGCAAGTGAGGAAGGAGTGTCTCCCTTGAGTCGTTCCTTCATGGCTTCACGGGCCAGTAGGTAGACTCCAGGTTTTAAATTTTGGTTAAAGTCTAACTTTCCATTGTGGCAGTTTCACAGGGTTGCTGGATGCCAAGTGTGTTTTTTTCCGGGGGGATTTCAAAGTGGTCCTGGGACGGAGCCACTTCGGGCAGGCACTTGAGACCGTGGAGCTGCCCTTCCCAGACCCCCTCCACTTTGGAGAGCTGGAACCCACTAGAAGTCCCACATCTGTAAATCTTAAGGTGTGGGGAGCCCTATGCAGTGGGACTGAGCTCTTTAAGAATTTTCATTTGAGGTTTGTCTCAAATAAAACGTTTTAAAAACACTTCACAGCAAATAGAGGACATCCGTGCCTCTTACTACTTTGTCAGTGACCAGGTACCAAAAGTGTCCCTGGGGTTTATTTCAACTTTAGTTCCGACCCATGACTGCTCCCCCGCCTCCAACCACCCCTTTTTCCACCAGGTCCAGGTTGAGAGCAGGCTGATCAGGCTAGCAGTCTGGCGGTAGTGATTTCCAGAAGCTCCACGTGAGAGAGGAGCGAGAGCCTTTGTAGCACCGCGGCCCTCGGGGCGCTCCGACCTGAGCTGCTGCCTCACACCTCCCCGTTCCCCTAGGGATCTTGCTTCCCTGGTGGAATCTTCAGATTTTAGAAATCGCGACTTGCCCGTGATTTACTGCAGTGGCTGAAGTTACATGATGAATTGCACCAGAATTTGGAAATGGACCCTGATAGGCCCCCTGTCATTTCCCATCTAGCTTTTAACTTCTTTGTCGCTATATTCAAGGTATTGTAGGTTTCCACCTCCAACAAACAGCACAGCCCAGTTCAAATCCTAGGGAGGCCAACAGATTGTACCCTAAGTGCCAGGGCAGCTACAGTTGAGCAACGTCTTTCTGGAGGCCGAGGGCAGCCTTAAAGAACTCGCCTGCATACCGACCACCCGCTTCTGCCAGTGCCGGACGCGTGCCCCCACCTCCCCGGACCTGGTGTTGCAGGGCAGGTCAGCTTCTCGTACTGCTGCCCAGCAGGTAACACTCAGCTGCCGGGGAACCCGCTGGCAAGCATGAACCACCTTCACAGGAACTGATCTCCCAAGCCAGCAATCCGGTTTTACTTCCCATCTCCCTAAAAGCTCAGAAGCTCAGAAGAAAGTGCCTTGGTTTGTGCTCGGAGGCCAACCAGCCAGCTCTCCGGCTTTTCCCCAATACTGTGATAGAAAGTGACAAAACGGGAATCTTCCAGAGATGCGGTATTAACAGACTGCAAAAAAGAGAAAGCATCAAGTTTCTACTCCTGGCTGGAAAGAACCGGTCTCAGCTGAAAAGGTCTGAGCACACACCAAGTGTCCCTGAGCCCTCAAAGGAGAAAGCTGTGAGCCCTGACCTAATCTGGTCTTACCTGTTAAGGTTTGGTTACGGTCATGGGAAGAGGGGGGTGGGGGGAGGGGGAGGGGGGCGGCCCGAGCACTTTGCAATGAATTAAGCTGCTGCTAGGGAGCCCCGGCTTCGTGGGAGTAATTGTTCAGCTCCAAAATGGAGGCCACACGGTGGGGGGGGTGGGGGGGGCTTGGAGATAGCCTTTTGTCTTCAGTTGCGGGAGGAGCCGAGCCCCTGAACCTAAGACTGGCTTGGCAGCATCACGGCTCCCAAAGTGAAGGCAGAGATGTGGGGACTGGTGTGTCACCCACGCCCCATGGAGTCTGCAGCAGCCCGTCCCCACCCATGCTGGAGTGAATGCCAAGGACGTGCTGGACGCCAGGCCCCAGGGGCGCCCTCCAGGCAGGACCGTGGGGTGCCTCGCCCACCGACTGCCCAGCACTGGCTGGTTATACAGGTTGGGTTGAAAAAGATGCCACCTTTTAAGGCTGCAGTGAAAAGCATAGTCTGTGATGAATTTGTACCTGTTATTTTTGGAAAGCTATTTTATTACTGCATGTTCCTCTGTCCACTCGTGTGAACGCCGAGTCCTCCCCCACGTGAGCTGTGCGCGTCACAGCGCCCCACCTCGGACGCGTGCGCGACAGCCGCTCGGGGGTGTGGCCGCGCCAGAGTTTAACCAGAGTAAATGCCAAACAGATAGTATGAGAAGTGTACTTTTTAAGAAATTAATTTATTTGAGTTCAGATATTTTTGAAATATAAAAATTGGTTGTATTTTTTAAAGCTATAATTCTTGTAGACATTCTGTGGTTAAAAATTTGTGCTTATTATTAAAAACAGTCATCTATGTTTCGCACTTCAGCTTTGTGAAAAATAAAGTTTCTCTGGGAAGGTGACATTTGGTTTCCTGATTACAGGAGGGAGTTGGTTATCTGGCACAGGGCAGGACCCCCCCCCCCACTGGTTCTCACCCCTGATGGCACCTGACACTCCCCAGGGATGGGGTGGGGGTGAAGGAGATCATTCCCATGATGTCCTGAGCTGCTGTGGACAAAGCCCACGGCACCTTGTATAGAACTCACCAGAAGCTTCAAAATTTCCCTCCTCAGTTGTGACAGCCCTAAGTGAGTCCTCCTCTGGCAGCCCTCCGCGTAACAAGGTATTAAGAAGGGGCAGCTGGTGGCAGCTCTGAACTCGGGTGGTCGTCGATCTCAGAGGGTGGGGGAAGCCCAGGAACTCAGAGAAGGGCGAGTACACCTACCAGGGTCTTTCCAGTCGTCTGCCCTGAACCCAGTCTAAGTATTTCATTTTTCCAGAAGAACTGTTTATACAGCTGAGAGAAAGGATCACATGTGAACCCCCTGATAACTTGTCCCAGAATTACTAAATTACTAACAGAGGGTCTTAAAAACAAATTGTGATTCGCGAAGGAGGTAATTTGAACAAAGTCCCAAAAGAAACCCCCTCAGAGGGCACGGAGACGTTGACGCAGCCAGGTCCTGCGTGGGGCCGCTCTTCGTCTCTTCTCAGAAGGGCACTGGGTCCTCGAGCAAGTGGTTCCTGGGCAGGTGCGGGTTCCTCTAGAAGTCAGGCAGGCCAGGCAGAGGGAAGAGAGATGCGAAGCTCTCCACCTCCTCCCTGAGAGCCCCGACGGCCCTTTGGTGCTTCTCGTCCCCTGCCAGTTTCTCTCTGAACTCCTTCAGGGTGGCCCTGGCCCCAACGTCGTTCTGAATCTGCAGAGTCAGTTCTATCCCTGTGCCGGCAAGAGACAAAACGAGTCCTCTGTGGGCCCGGAGAGAGCCACGACTTTGCCCCCATGTAGGTACCCCTCCAGAATCTCCTCGTGTCTGTCCCCAGAGCCCAACTACCATCAGCTAGAGCTTTGGCCAAAAGAAATGTAACAGGGGAGAGGTACGGAACGAAAGAGCAGTGAGGATTCTTACCTGGACAGGTGTTCTTATCACAGGCAATAGAACAGGCTTCTAGAACTGTGCCGTGCTGCGGCTCAGCGGGCCCCAGAGACACACCCGAGGCTCGGCTGTCAGGGTGCGCCCAGTGGCGGGGGCATGACAGCCGCAGGTGTTAAGGGGGACCTCGGAAGTGATTCCTGTGCCCCCTTCCTTGGGCAGGACGAGTTTACCGACCTCTCACAGACTAGATGGTTTGCTAAGGTGACTTTTGCTCTCCCTTGTCCCCCCGCACTGCGCCTGGACATGGAAAGTCCTTCAGCGGCTGGGTCTCAAATGCTTGCTCCCAATCAGAAACTCCTTGCACAGTTCAGAGTGGCCGACTTCCAAACCTTATCCTTACCTCTGTGAATAAACTGGGCTACTTTCTGGAACTCTTTTTCCAAAAGTCCTCGGGATGTCAGGGCTGGAGTCCCCAGACGCAGTCCGCTGGGCCGCAGTGCGCTTTTGTCACCTTCGAGAAAAACAGGCTCTGTCCCTCGGCCACCCTCAACTCACCACTGACCGCTGTGCATTTAAGACTCTTGGCCAAAAGAAGTGGACTTGGATGGTGGCTCTTTCTAGGAAGCAGAGTGCTGCTGACTGAAATGCCAGAGGCAGGAACAAAGGCCCAGGGAGACAGCAGCCCCTCTGGGCCACTGTATTGAAACAGGAAGGGGGTTGCTCCTCCACAAAGCGAGGCTAGCATCTGTGTTAGATGCATCACCCACATTCTTACAACCCCGAGAGAGCCAGCCTGTTCCAGAGGCCCCTGCTTCCCTTATCCAAATGCCCATGGCACCTGCGAGCAGCCTGCCTCAGTCCCTCCGTCTCTGCCCCTGGCAGGGTTCGGGCTGTGTCGGAAGGAGCAGGCCGGGAGAGAGCCACGATTTTGCTCCCATGTATGTACCTCTCCAGAATCCCTTTATGTCTGTCCCCAGAGCCCAGCTACCATCAGCTAGAACTTTGGCTGAAAGGATTCTTACCTGGACAGGTGTTCTTATTACAGGCAATAGAACAGGCTTCTAGAACCTTCTCAGCCCTTCCCCCGTCCGTGCCTTTGGAACGGAGATCCACGAGGATCAAATGGTTGTCAGAACCACCTGGAAAACCAAATTGGACATGTAGGAATAGAGAAACTTGATTCCATGCCAAGTGACGGAGTCCTCTCTTCCTAAGAAACGAGGGTAACGGGACGCCTGGGTGGCTCAGTCAGTTAAACGTCTGCCTTCGGCTCAGGTCATGGTCCCAGGGTCCTGGGATCGAGCCCCGCATCAGGCATCGGGCTCCCTGCTCCGCAGGAAGCCTGCTTCTCCCTCTCCCACTCCCCCTGCTTGTGTTCCCTCTCTCGCTGTGTCTCTATCAAATAAAATATTTTTTTTTAATTAATAAATAAAAATAAAAGAAGAGCAATAATTGACAAGGCTGTTGTGACGTTTCAGTGCAGCACTCCGCCCGCACCATGCACAAAGCAGGTGATCACAAATGCTGGCTTACGGTCACCATTCTCTGCTTCCGCCACCTGCGCTGTGCCCTCAGGTGCGGGCAGGCCTGGGAGCTCAGGGAGGTGGAGGCTTCTCTCCTGAGACTCCCGTGAGGCCTCGGGCAGCGCGGGGCTGCCATGTGCTGTCTGCACCCAGAGGGAGTCTGGTCTAACTCCTCCCGATGCCAAGTGCGGTTCCCACGCCAGCATCACGTGGGGGCCGGCTGGAATGCAGACCCCAACCCAGACCTGCCAAGTCAGACCTGCACTTTAACAGGGTGCCTGGGGGACTGTGTGCACATCCAAGTTTGACGAGTGACCCGAGGGACCTTGAAGGTCACCGTCCCCACGGAGGTTTCCAGGGCGTTCTTACTGACAGATGCGCAGGACGAAGGAGAAAGGAAAGAAAGGAAGTGGAGGGAACCAGAGAAAAGTGCTCCCCAGGACTGCAGAGGAGCCAGTTTTTGTCCCAGTTCTGCTGCTCATCAAGTTTGGTGGGGAGCCCACTCCTCAGACAGGGGCCTGAAGTCCCTGAAAAGGGCGGCGGGCAGGGAGTGGGCACCGGGTCTGTGGGATACCAGGACGCCCCTCCCTAGACCACCCCACTGGCAGCATAGACAGCAGCCTTGCGAGCAGAAGAACGACGCTGTCCTTCAAGATCACAGTCTGCCAGAAAGCTGCCGTCCTAACTGCATGAGCCCGCAGGGACACAAGCGGACGGCAGCCCTGAGCGGGCCCTCACCTGAAAAGCCCACCCCGCGGGAGCTTACTCAGCACCATCTGTTATATTTCTTTTTTTTTTTTTAATTTAAGATTTTATTTATTTATTAGAGAGAGCACATGAGAGGGGAGAGGGTCAGAGGGAGAAGCAGACTCCCCGCTGAGCAGGGAGCCCGATGCGGGACCCGATCCCGGGACTCCAGGATCATGACCTGAGCCGAAGGCAGTCGCTTAACCAACTGAACCACCCAGGCGCCCCAGCACCATCTGTTGTATTAAAGCACACGTGGACACGGCGCACTCCCTGGGCCTTGGGCACGCCTTCCACAAAGCTCCCGAGGACCTGTGGTCTCCCGCGCCAGTGACAGACTCAGCCCACGGCTGCAGCCGCAGGGCCTCAATGCCACCCCGAGGAGCAGGGGCACCTCCCCGGGCATTCGGTTGGTACCTGTCACCACTTTGTAGCCCAGCTCCATCAGGGTCTCAGCCAGAACCCGGCAGTTGGCCACCACCTGGCGCTGGTAAAGTCTGAATTCCGGAGTCATCGCTTGCTTCAGGGCCACAGCGACCCCTGGCGGGAGGAGAGAAAGGGTCAGGAAGGCAGGACGGGACCAGCCGGCCGACCAGGAGTCACAGAACACCCCTTGTTTCCACGCGGGCCTCCCTGCTTTTCACTGCCACCCGAGAGAGGGTGGATTATATTCCTCGCCCCAAATGAGATCTATTTTTAATCCTACAATTACCTGGCTGACCCTACAGGCCTCTTTTTTTTTTTTTTTTTTTAAAGATTTTATTTATTTATTTGACAGAGACACAGCGAGAGAGGGAACACAAGCAGGGGGAGTGGGAGAGGGAGAAGCAGGCTCCCCGCAGAGCAGGGAGCCCGATGCGGGACTCGATCCCAGGACCCTGGGATCATGACCTGAGCTGAAGGCAGTCGCTTAACCAACTGAGCCACCCAGGCGCCCCAGGCCTCTACTTTTTGAGGAGCATGGGAGTTTCGTGCTAACACAGTTATCACAGGGAAGCTGTTCTCCCGCAAGATGGATTTTACGGTCCTTTTTAGGCTCAGTGTGTGGACACGAGCACTCAGCTGCCCCCAAACGCTTCCGCTCTGGTGCCAAATTGTGCAAATCTCTCCGACCAGAGGCCAGGAGAGAGAGGCGCAGGCCTGTTTGACCTGCGCGTCCAGACTCCTCCGGTCCCTCGTTCAATCCCAAGGGCCGCTGAAGGGGGCACAGGAAGTAAAGGAGAAAGCAAAGTAGGCATTGCCTACGTGCGCGCACCAAAGCCACTCGTCGGTGTTGGTGGAAATGACTGGAAAAGGCCCAGGGTGGCTGGAAAGCGAGTGATGCCATCACCCAGGGCTTGAAGAAACCGCAGACCTGGAGTCTGGAGGTGTAAAGAGGGGACTGGGAAAAGACCCCGCGGAAACCCGCCCCCTCCCTCCCCTCCTTAGAAACACCAGCGTGTCTCTGAATGGAGGCCGTGTGCCTTTGTCCTGGGCTCCTCTACCAAACCGCTTTGTTCCACGGAAGACTCTGGAACAACTCTGAGGTCATCACATCTCCTAAGTCATTTGTACAGAGAAGGAGTAAGTCACTGGCAGCCTGCTGGATGTTCTCAGCGGTGCGAGGGGCGGGATGTCAGGACGAGGTGACTTGTCTCCTCAGGGATTGGATGCTAACCGCTCACCCCCTCTGCTGTGCCGCCTCCTAATTGTTGAATTCCTTCCCTGAAGCGGAGT